TAAGGTTATTCGCTTTCCCCATTTTCATCTAACATTGTCATAGACATACTTTTAGAAATAACACTCTCATCGTCTGACTTTCTACGGATTCATCTCCTGACAGGAGATTCACTTGTTGGCTTAGAATACCCAGGTGATATCGTTCGGTTTGGTGAAGACATTGACAAAAGACCATCTTCCGACCACTTTAAGCAACATTCTGAGCATGTTAAGGATGCGGTTCTCTCTCTCGAAATATAAAATGTGACTTCAGGATGGGTTTGTGTCATCGCCTGAATTAATGATAGGTAGTGAAGTAGTTGAACGCATCGACCGCTTAACTTATCTTGGGTGTCTCGTTGGTCCTGAGGCCTGACGAAATCTCTGCACTGATTCGAAGAACTTTATCGACTTTCGCCAATGAAATCTCGGTGACTAAGTCATAGTTAAATAGTTCAGATAACATCTTACAATCAGTAGACCACTTCAAACACTGAAATATAGTCAAGCTGGTTTCAAATTTGATATCAAAGCTGTTCAGTCACGTAATAGCCATGTGGTAAGTAGTTAGATACTATATGCCCTATAATTTATGCAGGTTTGTAGGACAACTTACTAATTCGTCTGTCATGTAGAAAGAAGATAAAGTCAACGTCATTTTGTTTGTCAGGGTTTTGATGTGGTGTGACAACTTGGGTCTATACACTCATATCACAGTTTTTACATTGTATATGACTGACTGTTTGTCATTATGAACGAATAGTTTAAGTCGGTACTATTAATCAGTTACATGTTGTTATTTGTTTACTTTTAAGTATTAACTCTTGGATGTATTGAAGAGACGCATAATTGTATGCTAGATACTCAACCCTTCTTATGTGTCATAATGTACCCATTACAAGTATTATCTCTCAATATTTAGATTTCTTCAAGATTTAACCGTCAACAATTTCTTTATTATTTCACCGGTTGACGTATAGTGAACTTAACCAAATCAATACATTAGACTTTCATGCTTGTCTTTTGACACTCGCTTTTGCCGCAGGATGTAGTTGTTCAAGTCACTAGCCAGTACCATTTATTAAAATACCGTTAATTTCCTTATCCACTTGTTATTTACTTTAATCTTTAAAAGGAATTTTTTTTCTTCCAAGTAGAAATTACCAACCTCGTTACCACTAAGTTTGTAGGGTTTAGGTATAGACTGATTTATTTTCAGATGAATTGCATATGTAAAATTTTCTTACGATCTATGTTTTTCAGTAGTGACAATTGATTTTAGCATTAGATAACTCACGTGTTTTGGTATATGGAAGAAATTACATCTGACGATAGTTGTGTTTTTTATGGTATTCCGATACTATATCCACACTTAATTTCATTGGATTTGTAGCTCAGGATTAGTCTAAATATGTCAACCCCAAGGACATATGAATCAATGAAGAAACTGCTTGACTGTGCTAAATTGGATATCTCTTTCACATCAAACATATTTCAGTCAGTGAAATTTGACTATCCATTATTATCCGAAGAGTACAAATTGATTGAAGTGCCAAATTGGTTAGCCGATGAAGTGATTCATGAAAGAGGGGACCAAGCAATAACTTTAAAAGATGAACATAAATCTAATAACACAGGGCGTGTATTTGCTTGCATAAGTGACAAAACGTTTTCGGTTATAGAAGCAAAAACGTCTAATACGCTCCTTTTAGCCTCTAGTTGGTGGTTGCCTTCATCCGATGGGCCTAAAGAGAATTTAGTACTTGTTACACCAATTCAAGCTGTCAAAAATAATTACTTTGAACTTCAGCAATGTTCAGCTCCGTCTTTAAAACAACTGAGGCTTTTGTTATCTCCATCTCTCTACTATGGTCCTGTTGATGATGAATGTGATTCAGAGAATAAAAGCTCTAGTCTGAACTATTTTGATCGTGATACTGTTGAAACCCGACTGCCATGCAGTAAGCTGGAGCTTAATGAGGCGTTTCGACGATTGCATGTGTGTGAAATCAATGGATATTTACGAATGCTTGATCATGAATACATGACACAGGTATTTTAATTGTGTATATCTTCATTACTTTGACTATCTCCAGATTCAATCTTACTGTTCTTAGTTATTTTTAATGAAGTCTTCTTGTTGCAGGTGTGTCTGTTTTTCATTATTTAAACGGTACTCATCTATATGCTTAACACCTCTCATGCCTTCAGAAAGACATGTAGTTACTTCTTCCAGCGCCTGTCTCACATTCTCATCTCTGTAATTAACTGATTTGCTGATGGCTATTTTTTTATGCAAAGTTTAATAATACTTTCCGTTATCAGCAATATCTATTGTGTATCAGATATGTCGAAATGTGTTTTGAGCAGTTAACTTAGGCTAATAATAACTATTCAGAATCGTTTTTAGAGGTTCATGAGGATGAAAAGCTTTAATGAGTATTTGTTTTTGATTGAGAAGAGCAATGTATTAAAGAATAAGCAATTAGTTATTTAAGTGAACGGAAGGATCACTGATCAAAAACAAATCTACGATGAAAAATTGTTGTATATTCATATGATCGTTGATAAAGAGCAGAAAACTTCAGAACTTTAAACTGATTTAATAGTCGAAAGTTCGTCCTTTTTACCAAAACATTTGACCACTGATATAACAGGTCTAGGAAAAACTGATCAGCTTTGATTAAAGTGACAAAATAGTACGTTATTCATTGCATGGCATGTAAATGTGAGCACTACTTCTTATCAGCAAGTTATAGCTTCTGATGTCTTAAATTATGAAAGTTATATTTTCTTACTGCCCCTCACATAATAATTGTGCCTCAACGGATTAAAAAAAGTGTGAGTAGCTCATAAGTTTAATTTATTATAAAGTAATAGTTTGTTGATTTTATTTGGAATGTAGTTTAGCTCGATTCTACCTTTTTTAGTTTATTGGAGTGAAAAAATACACTAGAATGTTTCGGTCAGTCTTAAGATACAACCTATGTATAGTTCAGTATTATTTCGCTTAGGTTGAGTTTAGTGTTGCAACGCAGTTGTAAGGCGAACTTTGAAAAATACCAATGAACCAAGTTGGGAACTTACAAATTATGTGCTTATAAATCCTGACTTGAAGTGTTTTTGATGGCCTGGCGGTCTAAACATTCGACTTTCAGCTACTTGATCACAGGTACGAATCCTGCTCTATCTAGTTTGGTTTGGATAGACAGATAGTACCAATAGCCCTCACATCGCGATTACTACTCACAACAAATTATGTAAACCTATACTAGGTTTTTGAGTTATATAGCTTTATTGAATTTAAATTGGGAGCTACAAAAGTTTCTTTTTTCCTATAAATAGGTAGTTAGAGATCTTTTTGCCCTTGCTGATGAAAATGCATGGGACTGGCGTAAATATGGCTTCCCTTTGCATGCCTCATTAGAAGGCTTGGCAAATCAGCACCTTCCAAATATTACCAAGCAAATTATGATGCTAATTTGTTCTCAGCTAGAAAATCGAAAAGCATTTGATTCTAAAGATGTATACGTTTACCCGCGGAATTCGAAAATTTGTCAAATAGTTGGGGAGCATCTACTATCAGTTATTAGCAGCTTTGACCTAAATGACTTCTTAACACTGTGGAAAGCATCAGTTCCCAACGGACTGCGACCGAAGCTTCGTCGTCATTTAACTTGCGCTGGACGTGCATATTGTGAAATAACACCCTTACCTACAAACGGTACAAGCGTAAAACTGGAAGGTAATGATATACGTTCTCGATTTCGATGTATTTCCCTGTTACGGTCTGAGGACTTACCTGATGAGAGTGTCGAGGCGCGTCTTAATGCATTGTTTGAGAGATGTTCTATGTGGCCCGAACCAGAAATAGGTAGTTTCCTAACAGAATTGTTACCCCCACAACCTCCCAGGAAAAAGTCTTCCTCTAAACACTTAGTCCCAGAAAAGGGATCTCAAGTAGATACATTTTCTGACGTTTCGTATGCTGATTCTGATTCAGACTTCAGTTATGAAGATTATTGTACAGAGTCTACTGAAACTGTTTCAGCACTGGAAGATGTACCCTTACCAACTCCACCTGCTGTTTGCTCACTTCTAAACAAATTCTGTCGTGTTAATAATAGTTCAGTCGGACGTGTATTAACTCAACGACATTCGAAGTAGAAATTAGCGTCGCATCTTACTTTGTATATCATCTGTATTCTTTAGATGATCATGACGTTGAATAACTTTTTGTAAATGAAATTTCGTCAGATGAATAATCATGTCAATTATATTATGTTTATTATTGTTTGTATAATGTTGAATAAAGCCATTAATAATAATAATTACTATTATCAATAATCTATGTATTAAGATTGAGTTTAAACAGTTGTTCATTAGTTATTTATTTGGTTTCTGAAGACAAAGGGTGGGGATATGTAAATGTATTTAATCAGTATATCAAACTTTGGGCTGATGGAGAAGCAAATCGACCATGGAGAGAAACATGATTCATTTAACCGATCATATACGTTTATCCAGATATATGACTTAAAATTAGACTTAAGTTTTCAGACAGTCAGTCAACCATAAACAACATAGAACTTGGCATAGTTGTGTAACAAACCATTTTATCTCATTTCATATCAACATCATGAGTGGATATTAATTAGTAGATTAACCGATTATAATAATATCAAAAATATCACACAATTTTGACAACCTTCGTCTTCTCATTAAATTATCGAAATTTACCATACGGACTAATTGTTTTAAATACGAACAATAATCGAAAACTAAACATGATAAATATTAATTCATGTTTGTATTGGTTTTTTGACTCTTCTCATCGATCTTTAGAACCGCAAGTGATCAGTCTCTTATTAGAGAAGATTCAAAATACCAGTACAAGAATGAATTAAACTTCGCCCCATTGCACAAGTCAGTGGCTATCTGGAATCAGTAGCAAAGTGGATAACGCGATGGCATTTGAAGTGAACTGTAATGGGTCCGAGTCCCGGAGTGAACATGGAATCTGAGATGCAGGTACATCCAGCTGAAGAGTCCCGATTAGGATGAAATGCGCGTCCTGGATTCCACTGCGAGCCACTATTTTCTCTGCTTATAGGAAATATTAGTTTAAAAAGAATGAGTAAATTTAGAATGTGCGATTTATAGTTTAAGATTTATATGAGAGTAGAGGAAGAACTCATCGTTATCAATCCCACTAATTTCAAGCCATATCTCCTATGGTCTCCAATCAAAGATTACTTCATGCATCGATGATTCCGCTTGACCATCAGCTTAGCCAGCATAGCTGATCCAGGTAAACGGTTGCTGAGTATGCTTAGGTCTCTTAATTAATAATTTGCTCTCTATACAAAAGAAAGTGACTTGACTCTACCTAAGTGTTATTTTCTCTGAGTGTCGTAAATTTAATAGATTTCATTCGTTATATAGAATAGTATAGCTAGTTAACAATAGTAATTTGTTAGTACGCTTTCGAGGTTTACGAATGTTACTGTAATACGAACTGTTTCTACATCAAACTGCTGGATTCAGAAGAGTTTTAAACTTGAGGGTGGGGGTCAAGTTATGATTTTCGGTAGGATACGATTCAGAATTACATTAGGATAGACATATAACTTGATACCATTACAGTGATCAAGTTAATAAAATGCTGGTAGGGAAATGTTGACTACTGTCTCTTCATTTCTGAGTGATGATAATAATGGGCTTTCATTTGATCTATTTTCACCCTGATAACTTTACAAAGATTCACCAGGTATTAGTGTTAAGAGGCAGTAGGCAAGAATAATGAAATTTAGTTGTGAAAAGTTACAAAGTATTTATATAATACATATACATAGCCTTCAAACGCCCAGTCGCATCTTTCGGTGTGTTCTGCCCTCTGAACTGTCTTCTCATCTGGTCTGGTGTTCTGCCAACCTTGCGCATTCGATGTACTGAAACTGCACTCGGTCTGACAATTATTGCAAGTTCGATGCCGCGTTACTTACAAACAGTCCTGTGAGTAGCGTTCATTTCACTAGTTCCTCACCATGCACAACATAAAATCACATATATGTTCACTCACTATTCGGAATTACACAATGTACAAAGGTGAATAAGATGCTGAACAAACTGAGTAATTTTGGATTGTTCACTTATTAGGTGAAAATCAAATGGTTGTGAAGAAATCATTATCCCAATAATCAGTGTTTTTTCCAACATCAGTTTAATTCATTACTCCAGTTGAAACATTTTCTAATTTACGTTATTTAAATAGCTGTGATTTTGGTGGAGTTTTTTTCTCTGAGCTGGATGGTTTGGTCGTGGAGCTTTCATCGTTCTTCTGAACGGCATCATATACGATTATTGTCATATTGCATAAAATACTTTCCGACCAACCAAATGTCAATTTGTTGATTATTTGGCGCCACTACCTATCAGGCAGATAAACTATATGGAAACTGGGGTCGATGAAGATATGTAAGCTTTTAGGGTTTACACCATTGTGATTAACACCCATCACTTTTAACTATGAGATCACGTTAATAAGCTTGAATTCATATATTAAGATTTTGTTTGTGTAGTGTAATTAGGATTTGATCCATTTAGTTAGTATTTTTCACTTTTTAATTCAATTTCTATTTAGTCAGCTGAAAGCAGCCAGTCTGTTGCTTCTGGTGTTTCATATGAATTAAGGCTATGAGTGACGGCTGGCCATGTATTTCAATCAAGTGAAAACAGTTTGGCATCTCGTCCATACATCACTATAGACCATTCTGGTCACAATTTTCATGATCAGTTTCTGGAGCTGCAGAATATGACTGCTTGATACTTACCGCATTTGAATGATGAAATTCAGCTACAAAGTACTTGTTTATATACCTAGTTTTCAGCTACTTTAGGTAAAGGATAATGGTACTTCACAATTTTTCAAACGGAAATAGGTCAGGAGGGGTTTGAACAACAACGTGATGATTTAAAGACGAGCGATCTGACCATTAAGCTACCTCTCTGAGCACCACATTCCTCACTTTGTCATGTCAGTTGATAGGTTCAACTAATCAAAGCTATTAGATGTTGTGTTTCAATCACTGTGTGCACAAAATTATGAGAAAGCAGCTAATGAAAAATATGATATAAAAGATAATGAAGTTATTTGGTAAAAATAATTTAAGCAATACAGCTTAAACGTCATTGTACAACAATTGTCTCTGAATTTATGACCGATTATTCAGGAACACTTTGTACTTATTACTTCAATAATCATGACACACCATCAATGGGAAGATTTTTTATTTTTATAAAGGTTCTCCAGCTTTCTAGATAATTAACTTACAATTGTTTACATAAAAGTATTTTCATGATTTAATTCACTATGAATCAACAAAACCCTAATAATGAGTACACAAATTGAAATCAAAGTTTTCTGTTTCATGTACCTCCTCAGTTGGCCTAAACCTTCTTACACTCGAAGTTGTAAATTGTGTTTCGTTTTAACATAAAAGTAACTCTGTATAAACTGTTTCAATACAGAATGCATCTAGTCATTAGTAAAACAATAATAAATTAGAAGTGATATTGTTATCCAGTTGAGGGTAGGATTTTAGTTATGTTCAAAATGAAGTTAAATCCATTATGATCGCTTTTAAAATCAACACAAACTCTCGGCTTTTTGAGTTATTTGATTTGCTAATTTGTAAGTTGGTTCAACAAATGCCCCTATAAAATAATTTCAAGTTTGGCTTACGATATCGTCTGTGTATGTCTTTATTTGCTGGCTGGACAAGTAACAATACAATAAATAAAATGGAGTAAAGTTCCAAACTTGTATTGATCACTTAAGTATTAAATGCAGATTTGTTTTAATAGCCAATCAGTGTAAAACTGCACGTATAAACATTAGAGCAAACCAATGAAGTTAAGCTTATGTTGAATCGTATTATAGCTTGTCATTCTAAACAAATATATAAACTATAGAAACTTGAACGCTAAGGAAGATTAATGATATCCTAATTATTAAAATGCAACAAACATCTCTTCGCCTTATGTAAGTCGATTATTTATACATAATTGGTAGTTTGTATTACTACTAATTACCTGAAATAATCAAGATATTGTATTAGTTAATTCTTCTGGCTTAAAAAAAGAAACATTTCACTGTAACGGATGAGATAGGCTTTGAAAACTGTCATCATTGTTCTGATTTATTGTTTACCATCAAATGAGTTGTTTGTGCAGTATATCTGAGTGTCACTTATACATCTGTTACTAAAATAGGAAAATGGACTAAGTTGTTTTCTCGAAGATGAAGTTGAAAACAAAAGCCTCTGTTGTATAAGCCCATGACAGGTCCCATAATTGTTCTTCGTAAAATAAAGAGATTTATGCAGTAATAAAGAATCTGCTCCACGCATGTGCAGAACTATGATCACTAAGGTTTACTGATAGCTATAATTATTACCGCTAAATGATACCACAGCTTTCTATACATATAATTTAGAATGAGAGCTGTAAATCCAGTGATAATTATACTTTTCAACACCGATGACTTACAAATCCCACCTTATAATCTAAAGATGCTGTTAAATATTATCCGGTTTCAACTTATTTTCCATTTCGAGTAGTCGAGGGTTAAACGAAATAACATATGGCTATTTAAAGAAGATACAATGAATCTCAATAAAACGGACTTGATGAACTAGTGTAAAGAACAATGGAAACGTAAACCGAATTGTCCTATTAAGAGAGATTACACACTACATTTATAAAATATGAAGCCAATAAACTGAATACACAATTTGTACATCCTCCTCGAATTGTCTCTTACAAGCTACATCGTTCGTTGATTCCTGTTGCCGAATGATCTGCTTCTGTTTTTTCATTCTCCTCATGTTCCTCTCCTGTCATTAACAATCCTGCTTTCAATTCTCGATACATACTACTTATATCTGTCCGTATGAGTGGCATACATTAAACTAGTAGATCGTTTGAAATCTCAATGAATATTTTGTTATTTGCTCTTGTGGCCACGCAAATCGTAAACACGTTAACTTGTGATATATTTTGTCTACTATCCAGGCCATCTTTATTCACTTTTATCAAGCAACTCGAACCAGGTTTTCTCATTTTTCGCTTGCGATATTTGAACTTTGGCAAGATAGTGTGTGTAGTGTGTACTCAAACGTAGAAAGATGTACTTTTGACAGCAGTTTACATCGAGATATATGTGGCACGAGATAATTCGTGGCTCCTGGTTAACTCTGCTTGACCCTACTAGAAATAAGTAGTTTCTTGTAATTGATTTTTCTAAAAAGGAAGTTGCTTTGCCTGCTTAGTCAAATTATTTTATGATTATGTGTTTTAAATAGCTTGTCGTATGGATTGATGTGGAATTGTTTGATGAAACCTGAAGCTTTACACTAATGAACTAAGATTAATTCACAGTTAACTTTATTCTTTAAGAAAATGGGCTCACTTTTACTATTTCAAAGGTTTGTAAACGAGGTCCTGAGGGTATTCTCTTCATGCTTGTTGTCTGCGTTCTTCTGTTTTATGTGTGTTTCTACCTATAAAATAACTTGCCATCCAGGTTTTAGAGCGCTCTTCAATCTTCTCACCTTTTGTAGTCTTACATATATTTGACGATGTATCCGCTAACGTAGTCGAAACTGCCCATCTATAATCCTATAATCCTTTAAAGACTTTTATGATTCTGAGTGAACAATGTAAATTCTTATCAGCTGGATTCGCCATATTGAATTAGTCATTTTACTTGATTTTAATTATGATGAAAACAAATGTATAGATTCAGTCGGTCAATTATTTATTGATACTGCTAGGTTTCTGATCGTGTTCGTAAACGCATTACAGAAACCGTGATTTGAAACTATGTTTAACGAGATTTTGTTGCACTTATGGTTTGAATGCTTTTGTTGAGGAATCTAAACACAAAAAAACAATCAAGAACAAGAAGAATTGTATAAAAGCATCTGTGTGTTTATAAAATATAAATTAGTGACCTTAAAGTTTGAGAAAGTAACAAAAGTTTGAAGACGACCTTCAATCAGAGAAACTGTAAATGACATCGCTTTCAAGTTTTGAAGTAAGATTTTAATTAATTTTTAACACATTGCACTTGTATCATTTTGAATGTTTGATAAAAATCAAACTAGATTTGCTGATACTAGTCACTTATTTGGAATATATATATATATATATATATATATCAAGAATTTAATTGTAAAAGAGTTCTGAAAGTTTACGGAAAATATTAATCTTTATCTGGATTGTGTAGTTGCAGAAGTATCAGAGATATATATAAAACAGATAAATAATAGTCGTTATGATAAATGCAGGTGAGTAATCGCTAAATGTTACTTATAAACTTGTATATTTATTTGCAGATTTTTGTGTAGTCTATTGATATTTATTCAACAGTGCAATAAAACTGATGCTCAGATATTTCGCAATTTATCGGTTTCTATTAAAAAACGACTGGATGACTTAATCTCATCATTAACAATAGAGGAGCTTGTTGAGCAAATGGCAAATGGTGGCGCAGGTCCAACATACGGTCCTGCACCGGCTATACCTAGATTGAAGATCAAACCCTATCAATGGCGTACAAATCCAAATCAAGGTCTTTGTACTTCATTTGTAAGTCACATTAATCAAGCTGCCTCGTTTGATATACTGGATGTCTGGAAAATCGCTTTCGCAAACGGCTTAGAAATGCGAGCTAAATGGAATCAGTTTAGTAAACAAAATAATTACCGTGTGAGTTTTTTATACATTCATGTAATAATAATTAATCTTATATTTCATCTTTAATGAAATACTTACAATATTATGTGCTTGTATGAATTATATTTTGTGGTGCCTAACAATGAAATCCTGGGTAGGAGTTTTGCTCATGTTAAAACTAATTACCATGTTGGATTTCTCAACAAACTGAAACATGAACCGCAAACTTTACACGAATATAGTATAATGCAATAGACTATTTATATGTAGTTCCTAATTACCATCAGTAATGGTCTTAAAAACTAACCTCAACGAAAACTGATCTAACCATCACTTAGCTGAACATCGGGTAATTGGTGGAAATCATTGGTCAGAATATTTTATTTACTCTTCCTTGGAAGGCTGTGAAGTACAATAAAGCCGATATGCCATTCATTAAAACTGTTTAATTTACTGTGGAGTGATAGATTTTGAATTAATGACAAAAAAATTACAGTATACGGTGAGTGATGAAATAAGTATGCAAGTCCTATGAAGAGACAACCATTTAAACCATCTTTTCGTACTTCTATCTACTTCGACTTCGCTCAAAATTCCACTGAATAAAACGGAAATGAGGAACACATCCTATACAGTTCAGTCATGTATAAACTTATATTATTTCTTCGGTAATAATTGAGGTTGTTAAAAGTATCTAAAACCTTAGGCTTAATTAATGGAGATCAACAGGCCTGACCTCAAATAGCCACTGATTGTGAACATACAGTACCATACTAACTAAAAATGGAACATTTGAAAAGAAAATAGAAGTAGTCAGTGATGATCACTAAGATTTGTGATACCCAACTTCATACACATGTAAAGTAAGAGTAGCCGAAAACCACTGATTGAGTGTAAATCACTTGGATGCAATTTTTAAGTTCAATGATAGCAAAGAGTCAGCAGATGGCTAGTTTGTTTGTGTTTTGGTATGAAATGCTGATCCGGATTTAACATTTTACGGGAGCTATTATCTACTGTTTAGTGTGAACCTTCTGTGACTGTTAGAAACATTTCGTTACCACCACTGAGGCTTCAATAAGTTGTCTTATTCAAACGACTTTTAGGCAACTCTTCTCTACATTACGCTATCTAGAAGTTGTTAGGTAATACCCTGAAATCTGAAAAAGTGTTTGAATGGTTATGTGACGTACAGGTAGTCTATACTATCTTTTGGATTTTGAGTGGTTTCTAATATGATCTGTCATATCAAATGCAACGACTTCTTTGTATGGTTATCCAGTTGGCCGTTTTTATTGTGGCTTGCATATGCTTACAGGGATCTGATGTTATGGTAAAACAGCAAAAATACCCATGTGAAAGAAATTTGTCATGGAGTAAGGTATAATTATTTCATAATGGAAGTTTATTTGGGTGCACACTTACTCTGCTAATTATTCATCGTATATATTAAATGTTTTCGAAGATATGTGTTTTGAAAATACAAGACAGAAAACTCAAAACGACTCATTATTATTTCTTTGAAATTTTGATGAAACTGTTTGTTTTTTAGTGAATAGAATAGACCCCTCTGTTTTCTGAAAACTAATGGAAAGAGGTGATTTTTGTGAGTAAGCTTGTTATATCTCCTGAGTAAAAGTGGTCTTCTGAAGGAATCCAGGAATCATTATTTATAAATAATCGCTTGACCTTAAGTATAATTTGTATATTCACTTGCTAGATACAAAACATGTTAACTTCCTAATTATGGGGTTGTGAATAACCATTCCCTACCTTTCTTTCAGGATAATACGGGAATAAATGTGTTTGCACCGACTGTCAATCTTCTTCGGCATCCTCTTTGGGGAAGGAATAAGGAGACTTACGGGGAAGATCCATATTTGGCGGCTGAATTAGCTAGAGCATATGTACATGGGATTAGTGGTTGGAATGTACCACACGATGGCTCAATCAAGGTTAATCTCTAAATAATTGTATATTCCACTTAAATCTTATCAATAATGATTGTTGCTACTATAATTACATGCGTTTTTCTAATTTGCCTTGAGAGCTATAAAATAATATAGGCATTAAGTCTAATATTAAATTAAAAAGCTGACTACAAGTACATTTAATTTGTTTGTAAATAATATTTCATCGTTTAAAATTCCTTATTGTTAGGTGATCCAAGACAATTGGTCTGAAACTTTAGTACTAAGTTTCCTTTCTGGTATCTCTCATTGGAAATTTTTTTTCGTAGTGTTAGCATTTTATGGATTGCCCACGATCTTTTAATGTTCGATTAAATAAGTGTATGATAATATTCTTGAAGAAACCTTGATGGAAGGATATTTGTCATTTGACTTTAAGTTTTTCATACTAAAAAGATGGAATGCTGGTTCTAGAGCAAAATATACACCTAACACTGTTCAACAATAGATATGTGTTCTTGGTGTATGGCTAAAATGTTCAGTTAGCTTATTTCATTTAATTCATTAACCTTTGGTCAACGGAAATGCTATTTTGAGTTTAATATGTGACCTTTACTCTACATTACGAATATAGGTTTATTAAGTAGACTAATAAAATCGTTCAATAGTAATTCATCAGAAAATAACAATATCTACTCTACAATTATACTATCACGAACTTAGGGTGATATTTTTTTGAATAATTACTGACAAGTATAAAGTCACTGAGAGTCAGTTTAAACTGTTGATCTTAAACCAATATGATGGTTAAAAATCAATTTCTGTTACTTACGGAGACAAGCCAATAGAATTATATATATGTATAGGAAATACTTCCCATATTCTTATTTATCAAATGTATTCTGTTTTTTTCCCCGGATATTGTTCAGTTGTATTGGTCATCGTCTTAAGTTAATAGGACACATAACCTTGAAAATGTAGTGGTCAACTTTCAGCATTCAGTTAACATTCAACTGCTTTTATATAGCAACACACAAGTGATGTCCTTAATTTATAGCGAAATTGTATTTCGGAAGACGTTATCAGCTAAAACCACGCGATTAACCAATTTCAGTGTAATAAAGGGATAAGGTCTAACTCTATACAGTAGTAAGATCATACACAATTAGAATTCGGAAGAGAAGAAAGTAAGTTGGTGTAGAAATAAGTAGGTTAGTAGTGAGTCATATAACGTTGTTATACAGACGCATTAGGAGCTTAGAGATGATAAATTATAATTACGGGAAGAGTTTCTATTAGTTAGTTAGTGTAATTAGAAATCTAAAGAAGAAGCATAACTGTTTATAAACCATTATGCGACTAATGAAACGAAATAAGTAATATCCTTTTAATATACATTTGGAATTACTATTTTTCATTAGTTATAAATAAAGAAATAAGAATTTTCAGAAACATTAGTAGTTTCTTACGAACTGTGATCATCAGTCCCGTTATTTGTTATTTATCTCAATCAAGTTTTAAATGACCAACTCTAGATGCCTCACTTCAACTTCTAAACAAACGACATGACCGATTATTGTTAACTGTAGTAGAACATGTTTTCCTTTCAATGACTATCTTCTCGTAAGCATACTCTGATACGTTAGTTACAGATAATTGAATTCCTCTGTTTATCTTACTGATTAAAACACGAAGTTACTGCCATTGTTCGGGCTTTTATAGTTAAACAGGGCTGACAATATCAGTTGCTGTTTGTATGCAGGCTCGCTGTATTTAATTTACAATTTTCTTGGTAATCATAAGTTGACTATTGTAAAGGTAAAGGTAAAGGTAATAAAATGTGTTTGTACTGTCTGTAAATCTATAGATTTCTAAATGATATTTGTCTAGTTCGAGCTCTATAATTAAAATGGAATATATACAGCCTGGGTAGTACAACAGGTACCAAGAGCTTAAAATCTTATTATTATCTTCTATCACACATAAACAGGATGGCTGACTGTATTTTAATTATTATGATATTTAATATACAGAGTTTAGACGTTGTAACTCTTTGTAGAGCACTGAAAAAACAATCTGGAAGACAAATGAACATAAAAGTGTTTATTCTTAATTTATCCCTATACTAATTTCCATCAGGTAAACTTACTAACAATAAATCCAATCAGACAACATGTTGTATTGGTTGGTGCAAACTGTAAACACTATGCTGCGCATTCCGGACCAGAAAACGATCCTGTTTCAAGGTTATCTTTTGAAGCCGATGTTCCGGAACACGATTTGTGGATGACCTATTTTCCTGCTTTTCGTGCATGTATGGAAGCTGGAGCTGTTGGAGTTATGTGTGCATATAGCGGAGTGAATGGCACACCAGCTTGTGTAAATCACTGGCTATTAGATACTGTACTTCGAAAGCAGTGGAAATATCCAGGTTTGTGATATAAAAACTAACTTATATTCATTCTGTCACCATATTATATTTTTCAAAAAAATGTTTGATGTTTTATCTAGATTCATCATTTATCTGTTTTCACATGTGTAGTTTAGATGCCTTGTTTTATCCATCAATGTATTTATGATATTTAAACTGCTAGACAAGAAGTCAATTATTGGAAAAGATATTTGATTCGAGTATTAGTACATTTCAAAGGTAGCCACATAAATATGTCCTCATAAAATTTATTAGCTTTGTCTAGTTTTGGTGTGAAGAAGACAGCTTACCTAAACTAGTTTTACCTTTCAAACAGAATTGCGTTAAGTTAGACATTATACTGCTAAACTATCAAACTGTATTGTCTTCGTCATAGAGATAAGTTAGTTGGATAATTGGATAATTAATAGTTCATATTATTTAGGAAATAATTTTAGTTATGGCATACTTTCCCAAACATGAACTGTGACTGAATCCGAAAAAAACTCATACGAAGATTCTATTAGAATCAGAACCGTTTGTATAACCAGTAAGTCATCAGCCATATGCAACGTAGAACCTATGTATAAATAGTTCTATTCTGTACCTTTTAACCATCGAGAAGTGATTACAGTAATGGCTTTCAGTTTAACTAATCTTATTCAATATTTGCATGATTTTTCCCCAATTTTCCAGGTTTTGTAATCAGTGATGAAGGTGCCTTGCAATTTTTGATATCGAAACATCATGTTTATTCGTCTTTACAAGAAGCTGCTTTAGCTGCAGTTAAAGCTGGTGTAAATATAGAAAATGCGTTACCTAATAATGTTAACGTTTATTCTGAATTATTAAACCTTACAAAATCTGGTAATGTGACTGAAGATGAATTACGAAATCTAGTTCGTCCTTTGTTCCTTGCTAGAATTCTAGAAGGTGAATTAAATTCGCCAGAAATGGATCCATATGCTCATTTATTACCCAGTACAGTATGTTTTTGTAGCACTTTGATGAATTTATATTTTGTTTTCTAAGTAATTAGAATCAGTTTTGATATTAATGAAGATAGCTTATAGAAATTTTCATACATAAAAATCTCATTGCGACAGTCAGTCAGAAACGACAAAAATATACCTTGGTTTTTGCAAGAATGAATATTACGGTATTCATAACGAAGATGCTTGAAAAGATAACCGATGTAATATTGAAGTTTTCTAAAGAAGTGATCAGTCTTACTAAACTGAATCTTTTTTAGCTTCCTAATGGATCCTTTACAGAGTCATGCTTTTCACATATAAAGTTATCTTTAAACTGAAAGACACCACCATAGCACCAAGCATACGCTATTGTCTTTGATAAGGTTATTAAGACAACCATTGTAGTATGTAAATTCAATTACAGAAAATTTCTTAGCATCTACGTTTTTCTCCTCCATTAATCTGACATCATATCTTAAATGGATAACATGTTTAGATTTTCCAGTCAAATTTCCAGGAAATAATGATAATCCTTATTCTTAATTTAACAAATGATGTAGAAAAAATTCGCGATCAGATATTTGAAATAATGATGACCAAGAGCGATCAAAATAAACTCTATGTATAATGTATTTTCACTTCAAATATCTAGTCGGAAACCATGGGAAATTTTATATTCGTGTGGCGAAACTTGCACGTATTATTTTTGCTTTCTTTGTTACTCAGTCTACTACAAACATATCACTTACTACTCAAATGGGCACCGTAGTTTCTGTTATTAAACAAAGCTGAACAAAAATGTCTGCTAAAAGCTGGTGTTCACGTTGGATCAAGAAGAATGATAAGAAAATTCTATATTACATGAGTAAAAACTGCAATATTTTTGATAAAATTAGGTTAGTTTCCATCAAGAATATAATATAACTAATTCTTAAAATTCAGCTGTATTATACCATATTACGAGTAAGCCAACTACAAGGATAATGAAGTTTGAATGACCAAATAGTGAGCATGTGACTTACGAGTTAATTGCAAGATGCCAAATATCCAGATTTCATCAAGTTTTGATTCATAGGTATACTTTTGAGAAGTTATAATTCCAGTGTCAGTCACTTGTAAATACACTGATAATCCATAAGCTTCTACTCACATCATATCATATGGAAATACATAATGGGTTGAAGTTGAGTAAATACCATGGTACAGGGAGGGTGGGGAGAGTCCTCATTCCTCCTTGAAATACTTTCTTATGACCGTGTATATATAGCCACTCCAAGGGAAATCCTACTCACTTCTTTCTTGCAGTGAGGATGTTGTTTACGAAATTAAGAGGATGAAAAGCGAATGTTAGGCGCCTAGACTAGATTGGTGGGTAGGAGGGGACCTACTTCGAGGAGTTGGGAAACCGTGACTCCAAACCAATGGTTCACATGAGCTCTAGAATACTGAGGTACCCAAAGGGGTTACCGTTGGATCGCATATCCTAACTTTATTCTACTGCTTTATAGATTAGATCTTTAGGTCAAAGGCTCTGAAAGTGGGTGCCTTAAGGAGACCACCTGCTTCACTCTCGAACCTAGGGCAGTGTCCGAGCCCATACACAAACTAAATGATTACTACAACTAAAGAAAACCATTTACACCGTAGTCCTCAATCCTGCAAGTCATACTCCAAACTATTTGTCAATATTCGTTTTTATCATATACTGCGTCACTTATTCATTCGCCCTTTGTTTACTTTGTTATTTTACAAACCACACAATAGTCCACCTGTAGTGGAAATTCTGTCTTTTCTAAATGATCCTAAGTCACTGACTGGTCGGAAGTTGAATGTTACCACAGAATACGAATTCTGAAGCAGTCTTTCTGAAATTATGTGTGGCTTTTAAACTAGACTCCTGCAACACTCGTACAATAATGCAGATCGGACAACAGATAGGTTTGGTTATGTCTTTGGAGGTCCTAACACCGATGTCTGTTGTCTATCTGATATTCATAATCAAGACTAGTGAAATACTACAAATTCGCATGTATTTGTCTCGGGATCCTGTGACACTTTTTCCAGATCTCACTGGCATTGTTGCCACAGAGTTGCGGCAGAACAGAAAAACCACTAATCGACCAGATCCAGATTGGCAGTTGGTTATGTGCTGTTAGATTAGAATGGTTCAGCAAGTGGTTGTGAAAAACAATGCCTTTTCATCATCTACGCCTACGCTCCGACAGATTACAGCCCGAATGACGTCAATAGGAGTTTCACCATCAATTAACTATCCTTCTATAAAAAGTGTGTTCGACAGATATTGAGACTTGAGTTCACAGATCGGGCATCTAGGCAAAGAAGAGAGTCGTTTACGTGACCGATGGGGACTCGATGGTCGCAGGTTAGATAAAGGTGATCGTCTACTGCAACTGTTCGCAAACTAAGTCCTTTTTCTGGCTATCATTAACAACCGACAAAGTTATCACCGAAGTGCTACATGGTGTTCTCCATCTACATCTCAATTCTAGACTCAGAGTGATCACAAAGTCATCAGCTACAGCTGAAGTGGTTGTGTGCAAAACTACCGCTCCTTTTGGAGTACCCATCTGAACCCTGATAATGCCCATGTTTGCGCTAATCTTGCGTTGCGTCTCAGTGGTGAACAAGTTCATCTTCCTAAAAGGAGCAATGTCAGTAAATTGGTTGCAGCTCCTGTCGCAACTTAATATCAAACCGAACATGATTCAAGGTTAACTATTAACGCAGTGGAAAGTATGGATAAGAACTTACGGCTTTGCATGACCCTATGAAAATGGCAAGCAAAGTCGCTTGTGGCTTCACGAAACGTCCTGCTCATAAGCATTGAGTCTTTACAGGTTCCTTACAACTCGCTGAGACACGTTTGTCTACTCCGAGTAACCGCAAGTTTGACGATGAACGAAGACTGTTACGTAATGGAATTTCTGTAAGTTTGTGTAGGGACCGAGAAGCTTGGTGGTCGGATAATGCTAACGAGTTGGTAGCAGTAGCTTTACTCAGTAGCTGCCGGAAGTTCTTTCATCTCATCCGAGACACTGGCAACAAGTAGTCTGGTGTGAGCGAAACAACCTGTGAAGCTGACAAGATGCCAATCAGTAACATCAAACGATGTCTTGGACGATGGACAGAGATTTTTGAGGAGCAGTTCGACCGGTCTGCTACCCCGACGACTTTCCTGTGTTCCAAGGCCAGTAAAGGCTGATCCACCGAACGAAGAGGAAGTCTGCCAGAAACTCCAACTCTTGAAGCGCTACAAATCACTAGGCCCAGATGACCTAACTCCGGCCCTTTTTAAAGATGGTGGTGACTTTCTGGTTACGGAACTGGCTTAGTTGTTTGCAAAGGTCTGGCAATTAGGGACTGTTTTAACATCATGGAATGAGTTGATAATCGTCCTTGGAAGGCTCTGTTTACAAATAGTGTAGAAGTTCATGTATCTGGGTAGCCGCGTAAGTACTGGTGGTGGCGTGAGTAATGAGATCGATTCATGTGTAGTGAGAGCCAAAGAGGATTTTGTCAACCTGAGCGATCTTTGGTGTATTTGTGATGCTAGCCTTGCAGTAAAAGTTCCGATCTACAACGCGTCGGTGAGTGCAGTTTTCTCTATGCCTATGAGACCTGACCTCTCAGAGTTCAGGATGCTAGACGACTCTGTTCAATGATTTTCTACTCTGATGGATTACTTGTGTACATCGGTAGCACTATGTTAGTAATGCAGAGGTTCGGCAACGTGTGTTGAGGTACAGCGACGATAGTCCGATTGATGTAACTATCTTGAAACGTCGGCTTCGGTGTCTTGGACATGTCTTAGGAATGTTGTCCAGGGAATTCCACGTCGTGAATTATCCGCCGACGCTGGGAATGATTACGAAACGCGAAGCGATGGTAAGTTTTTGATTTACAAATCGAAGTTCTATAGGACTGGCGTCTGCCAATCCTTCATAACGTTTTGGTTAGGGTCTTAGAGATAGTGGAGCACTGTCCTTAGACGGTATCAGACATGGTTCAGAATATAAGGTATTTGTTGTCCTACTGTAATTATCTTTTACTTGCTTCATATAACAGTAAAGTAACTTCTTTAACTGAAAGAATCCATTGTGGTTGTATTTTTGTTAACTGAATCAGTTCTTCGATTGTTATTGTTTTATACTCTCGCCTACGTTTTTATTATACTCACCTTGCTTTCTCTATCTCCTCACAATCTCATTTTTGTTACGTGGTTCACATTTATTTTGGTGACACTTTATACCAATATTTATGTTTGAACATATAAATAGTCAAGCAAAATGATCCTCTTAAATTATCTTAACTTTTCAAATTCTATTTAATTATTTTGGTTGTAAGCAGCTGACGAGAAACCTCGAAATATTATGAATTCATACTATTCTGCATCAATGTTTGTTCTGGCTCTATTTAAATTCATAAAGGGAACCAATTGCATGAAAATGATCTGTTATGTAATATCTTAATAACCAAACTGTAGGATGCTTTTAGTTCGGTCATTATGATATGGGATGTATGCAGACTTGCGTATTATTATTATTATTATTATTATTATTATTATTAGAGGTGGTTTTAAACATATATTAAATATTATTGTCAGTTTTACTGAAGCTCTGTTTGATGCTGCTAAAAGTGTAAACATGACACTTACGATTTTCTTAGGTTGTCAAGAGTGAAAAGCATAAATATTTATCCTTGGTTACTGCAGCCAAAACAATGGTACTTTTGAAAAACTCTGAAGAATTCCTTCCACTTAAAATGAAACCAGATACAAATGAACGGCCGTTAAAACATGTTGCCTTACTTGGACCATTTTCAAGAAATATCAGTGAATTGGTTGGAAGTTACACTAAACACATTGATCCGGCTGATACAGTTCCACTGGATAAAAGTAAGCTAACAGATACATACATGACAATCACATCTTATATATAACACTGCAGAATACTTCATAAAGTGGAAATTGTCAAGCAAGTAGTATGATTTTACCATCAGTTTACCTATAAAATTCTATTAGGGTCATTTTGATGAAGGAAAGGTGCAGTATCTGACAGAAACGGCAAATATATAAAGTTGGGGAGAGTTCTCTACGTCGTAGTTATTAAAAAGTCATATCAGATGGCCTCGGATACCTTACGAGGCTCTAGAGCACAATGCATAGTTTCCACAGATTATTTATGAGGTTCTAAGACTCACTTTCAACTAGATGAAGCGTTATTTAGGTTACTGTCGAAATTATATTCAAGCTTATCAATTATCAGTCTTTATATTATTTTAATACGACCAAGTTGTAAGCAACTGTTTTCTGTTCACTTAATTACAAGTATTTGCTATTGACATGAAAATTTAAATCACAGAACTGTATATATTGTCACGAAGTACATCAAAGTTGTGTTGCATCTGATCTGTAAACTAGCATGAAGCATATCACATAAGTACTTATACTGGCACATGTTGAGTATTACTACAAAAAATCATTTGTATAATATTTGATTGCTGTTATGAAAACTTTGATGATAAAAACCGAGATTGCAGTAAATTATTTATGAATGACCTGTTTATTCTGGAGTTCCTATCTTCATAAAGTAATTGTTGATTACTGTATTAGCATTGGAATTATTTTTGCTGTTGGTTTGTTTCACCCATTCGGTTTATCATTAATATGTATGCTATGATCACACTGACTCTTTCCACGTTACATTTTGTAGCTCTTGAAAAAATAAGTGAAAACGTTACTGCTTCAGATATTTGCATTGATGGTGGGAAGTGTACAATGTACGACGATTTAGCTATCCAAGAAATACTTTCCCAACCAGATATTGACCTTGTTATCATAACAATTGGCACGGGACGAAATGTTGAAGACGAAGCACATGATAGACATAATCTTAATCTACCTGGACATCAGAATGAATTTTTATTAAGTACACTAGATATGGCAGCTGGTCGGGGGATAATTAGGCGCAAGCCTGTCCCAGTAGTTTTATTAGTCTTTTCTTCTGGACCAATTGATATTGAGCCAGCAGTGGAAGATGAAAATGTATGTTACTTTACACGTATCAATCAATGGGCATTTTTGAAAAGTTAATATTTGAAACGAAGTAATAATCATGACACTATGGTGGTCAGTATTCAATATAATCCTTAAACTTCGTATACAGTTCGTCTTGATAACCGTCACTAGATAACGCCCCAACGGTATATTAATCAGAAGACAAATACGAAGTGTTGATTACGTTTATTATAAGACCACACACAAATATCCAAAATTACAGGTGCTTTAAGCAAGCATGAAAGAATTGTGTCGAAAAGCAAGCAGGCAAGTGAGCGAGTAAGCGAATATGAGTATGAGTGAGCTAGTACAATTAAGAAAGAGAGAGAGCAATGAACATGAATAGCATGGACATATATATACATAGTGAAATGAATGAATCATCGAATCAATTAAGCGAATAGTAGTAAAGCTAGTAGCGTGAATAAATGCGTAGGTAGTAAGCAATGCTCAAGCATACATGTTCATACATTCGCAACAATAATAAAGATACAACGATATAGATAAGTTTCACTGGTTGAAATTATGAGTCAATTGAAGCTAGACTACCATGGAAAACCTGGAAGCACCGGACGGCCGTTTCGTCCTAGTATGGGACTCCTCAGTAGTGCGCATCCACGATCCCGCACCCCGCGAAATTCGAACCCGGAACCTGTCAGTCTCGAGACTGTGCTTCCAGGTTTTCCATGGTGGTCTAGCTTCAATTGACTAATGATTTCAACCAGTGAAATTTCTAAAAATCACCATAAAATGACTTAATCGAATTAAATGTGAACAAACTCAATTGCACGTGAGTCGCTATAACACATTAAAAGGAGATTGGATTAACTATTCCATCATGTGCATGTTATTGAATAGTTTAGTATAAATCAGTCAAACCTAGTACACTAAATAGAGCTTATTTCCAATAAACAAGTGGCTTGATGTTATTTCAGTAATAATAAAGCTGAACTTTATTCTAATGTGGTATTTTAGACTTTGAAGTTTACCAGTTGTTAAATGCTTACATTTATATGGTGATAGTTTAACATTTGAAACTGACTCAATTCAAAATCATTCTGGACAACATCCAACTTCATAAATAATTTGTTATATTTACCACAGGACGTGATTATGTGTAATAGTGAACACTGCTAAAAAAGACAATAAAAATAAGACAATTTTTACTTGACTGTTTTCGGTAGTTTTTCAGATAGTATCAATTTTTAACAAGAAATCATTATTATGTATACAATATTTGCACGCTCATTTTTTGAAATCCTCTTCATACACTGGATACGGACAAATTAAGTCTGCTTGACTGAAACATCGTGAATCTAATTATTAAATGAAGTTAAATACTAGTTCATCGATATAATTACTTCCACCTCTGTATTAATATAACTCATTCATAAGCTCTTCCTTTGACAGGAACGAATCACGATTGACAGAATCATACATTCAAATTGCAATTGGATGTCTTTGATTTCAGTGCTTTTTTGATTTTTGAGAAACTGATGCGTCAAGTTATCATGTATTGCTTAATGTGTAACGCAAAGATGTTTATTCACAAATAGTATTAACCAGAAGTATTGGATCTATAACTCGTCCTAGATTCATGAAGTAATTGACAGAAAAATTATTTCAATCTCTAAACGATATGACTACTAGTTGTAAACAAGTAATCAATATAATTACGATGTTTTTATCTGGATAATTTAAATGATTCTGACTCTGATATTATTAAGTTCAACATACAGGTTCATCAAGCTGCTTCATATGCTATCAAATAGCCTTTATTATACAATATTAGATTTTATTTTTTTGTGGCTATATCACAACATAATAAATGTTGAACATAGCAACCTAATACATGTTAAGTTTTTACGCAAATGAACGATGGAATTATTTCAACTTAAATAAGTTTTAATTTTACGATAAATTGGATATCTATTCACTTTCTCAAGGTTAAATCCATATTTTGGTGTGGTTATATGAATGACATACTCGGTGAAGTAATAGTTCGTGTACTGATGGGAAATCCTGGTAAACCTTTTGGGCCGTACGCACCGTTGCTACGATTGGATCCTGAATTATCCGAAATCGGTATGTGGGGTATGGATATAGATGAAGGTTACTGGTGGGTACCAGCTGCTAGATTACCATTTACATGGTACGCATCAATTGACGAGTTAGCCAATATAACTGTATATAAAATGACAAATCAGACCTATCGTTACTTGCCAAAATCTTGTACCAAGCAACAAAATGCATGTAAAATACCAATTTTGTATCCATTTGGCTATGGATTATCATACAACATGCTATCCCCTTCTCTTAGTGGTATTGAATATTCAGAACTGGAGTTGCCACTGTCTCCGGTTAAACCAAATCAACCAATAACTGTTTATGCAACTGTAGCTAACGTAGGAGATATTGCGTGTGAGGAAGTAGTACAAGTAAGTTACAACCTAACAGTTTGAAGTGAATTTAAATCAAAACATTAATTCAGGTTTATTTTTCTTAGTTTGAAAACGATTGTTTAGTTTCATAATTTTGTTTTACTACCTTTTTTGAATAGAAGGTATGGAAAGTAAACTGTTGATGATCTACGAAAATGGAACAATACATGCGTTCTGAAGTCTAGGGTTCCCACTGTTTTTCAACAGAATCACTTGTGATAACCAAATTGTTGAGATTCACAAATGTTTTCGTATGAAGTCATATATTTTTCACAATGCTGAAGCATTACTCTCCAAAATAGATGATATGTTAGATGAGTTTTGAGGGTTAACGGAAATAAACTGAGATTTTGTATTCATGTCTTCAGTACAAACACATTTACATTGCTGTTTTACTTAGCAGTTTAGCTAAATAAACCCAAATAATCTAAAGGCATAAGATTTTTTGTTTAATTATTTAACTTTCTGCAGTAAATGATGGAGATAACATGTTCAGTTTTAACCTTTATTGTTATACGTAGTCTTGAATAACCAATTAACTGAAAAAAAACTAATTAAACACAGTAATAATTAATTAATTAGTTATTTACGCCTTCTACCCTTCATAGTGCATCGGCCGTCTACCAAGATTCTCCAAAAAACTCCGTCCTAGGTCCTTCTTTCAAGTTATTTCCCATTGCTGTTCATTCATTTGATGTGTTCCTCCAATCTAGTAGGAAGACAAAATCTATCTGACTAAAACTTTCGATGCTTGAGCAAGCACAAAAATACGTTAGTTCAGCGGAAGTCCTCGATTAATGGTTTAAAGTTTTCACCATATATACTGATTCCATCTATTCTTGTTACCTGTGAATTTCATTGCCTTTAAAACTAGTAAAAAGAATGCCGTCAGTACAATTAATTAAAAGAAGTGGTTTATTTACATCCAGACGATACTGAATGCTTGGATTAGTTACTGCAAATACCAGTGTAAAACTGAAATGAGACCAACGATATTGGAAAGAAAAGCATAGCTGTCCCGATGACATATATTTTCAAAATCAGTATAGTTGCCCTCCGAGCATTAATGTAAAATCACGTTTCATCATAATATCTCCCCAACAAACTCAGACTAAGAGTTGTCAATAAGACTTCGGAAATTACATAATAATTTGAAAATCAGGCATCATGCTGGTAGATTTGTTCATTGAACAGTTAAAGGCTGAGTTCAAATCAATACATCTCGTATCTCATTCACTATGTATTTACAAACTGCTTTCAGTATTCACAATAAGAAAAATTCCTGTAATGTCAACTAGAATATTATAAGAAGTCTTTTTTTGTTCAGCTGAACGGTAGTTTCATTAGCAGTCAACGAGAATATATTAATCACAAAAGATCTGAAGAAAAAATATTCATGCAATTGATTAAATGTTTTTAATTTTGGATATAAAATGTTAAGTACCAACTTCATTCACATAATAATTAAAATGTATATTTTGGCTACTCCAACTAATCTCTAACGCTTTGGTGCTTCAATCATTTGTAAGATTCCAAAATCCAAACGGAAAGTTTACTAAGTGAAGTCGTAAATTACATGATTTAGAACTTGCGGTTATGTTTTCTCAATTACAGTCAAAAATTAGAGACAAATCGATAAGTCAGAAGAGGGTTTTGTGGAGATTTTAGTAATTTAATAGTTCAATTCATGGGTCAATTGAAGCTAGATTCATGAATGCGAATACTAACTTGCTAAAATCTCCACAAAAGCCTTTTCTGATAATAACAATGATGTGCTCACTAATAAATGACTTCAAGAGGAATTTCCTGGAGTTCTTGTGAGAAGCCGTGACCAGTGGAGTTCAACCAGGTCTGTTATGAGATAGTAACTCACTGAAGACAATGGTGGACGGTGGTGCGATTTCGTGAGTTGGTTGAAGCTAGACATTAATACCGTTGGATGCCAACTCAGTGATCTAGAGGTTAAGCGTTAGCGCGCGAGACTGACAGGCCCTGGGTTCGAATCTTGTGGGGTGGGATCGTAGATGTGCACTACTGAAAAATCACATACCAAGACGAAACGGACGTCCAGTGCTTCTAGGTTTTCCATGGTGGTCTAGCTTCAATTGACTCATGAATTTAACTATACAATTGCTAAGTAAAATAAATATTGTTTATTAAACAACCTTCCAATATATCAGTCATCTTATGCCAATTATTTTAATCGAATTGCTATTTTTATATCACACACATCTGACTAACTTTACTTTATCATCACAACTTCTAAGTTTGTCAGACAGATTACTTGTGTTTGAATTGTTTTCCTTTCCACATCGATGAAATATTCATGTGATTGTAGAGTGAAGATATGTCAATCTGTAAAGCAACAATAGAATTTGTCTGAATTATCGGTTTTGAAACCATTTTTCTTATACATCTAAACGGCCCTTTTTCATATTCTTTATTTTTGTAGTAAGATTAAAGGTAAATTATTCTAAAATGTTATAAATATATACTTTTTTCTTTGTGTCTTTTTCCAGCTGTATATACAATGGTTAAAATGTGGGCAAACTGATATAACTAATGAAGATCAGTGGGAATGCACTGCACCTAATATTCAATTGGCAGGCTTTAAACGTATTCGACTAGATGTTGGCGAAAAAAAGGATCTTCATTTTCAGATATCCCCAGACCAGTTAAGTGTATGGTCTAATCAACATAAATCCATGGTTCCTGGTCAAGGCACTCTCCGTATATCAGTTGGAGGACAACAACCTGATCAACCAGTTACAGTTGGATCAAACTATTTGATTGGTATAGTTAAAATAGATCACATATAGCTGGAAAAGGCTTGGAACTTAAAACAAGGAATGAGTTTGTTATCAATTAATATTGCTCTATATCTGAACTCAATGGATAATGGTTGATATTAAAATATATAATTTGAATATAGCAAAATTTTCTGCTCTTTAAGTAGACGATTGATTACAAGAATTCCTATTCTAACTCCCCATAAAAATAAAATTTCATGAACTATTATTATTTGGTATTTTTAAAAAAGCTGATAAACAAAAATGTAAGCTAACTTGATTGTGCTTGTCGATTAACTTATCATCACTATTAAACAAATAATGGGACTTGATTATATTCCAACTCACTTGTCATCTATCATTCAGAAAGCGTTATTATTAGGGATACTATCAAACAGAGAATAATCTTCTGCGGTAAACCAAATTAGGGAATTACGTGCTACGAAACAATTAAGTAATTCATCGTTTGAAATGTAAGTCCTATTTAGGAATCCCTGATTATGTGACAAAAAATGAATCGTTTCTTGAGGCTAACAAGTACTTTTAATGATCCTGAATTAAAGCAATTAATTTTAATCGGACTTTTTCTATTGAGCTCTGAAGTTATGTATGTTGATCGTGTGAGACACATATACTTCATTAGTTTCCCTTTAAGTACCAATAAGGCATTCTTTTTGTTGCATTAGCAGCCTAAAAATCTTGGTTCTTTAAGAAGCAGCAGCATGTGCTATCCAGTTTCCTACTACTCAACATGCCCCTCTCTTTTTTCAGAAGTGATTCGTGTCGTCACAAATTTAAATTTCTCTCATTGAAATTCAGCAAACCTATTTCACAATTTTAGAAAACACACACAATTTATTTGAATGCACGAATGAATAAAATCATGGTCATCAATGAAAGCAACAAACCAAAATTAATTAGAACGACTCTAATACTCTCATTAAGAGATTTGTTGATATACACAAAAAAGTGTCTTTAGATTTCTGACTACTGAATGTTCTTAAATGTTGATTTATTGACTAAATTTTGATAATCGGTAGAAGTCAATCTCCACTTACCTATTACTGAGAATGTCCTCAAATGTACTTAAAATCTTTAAAACTTAACGCAAAATTGATTTTCTGAACTGATATTTTGGATTAATCATGATTTTTAAAGCAAGCTTCTGTTCCCGTAGACAAAATTCGTTTTTTTAGTATGGTCAAGTAAAATATGTATCAATATGAAGTTTTAGACAGTGACTCACCACTCAAAGTAAGTTGGAAAATAAGTGATTCTGACTGACTTGTATCCCTCACTCTCAAATTGTAACAAGTCACTGCTTTTCTTTTATATCTTTCAGTGATTTCGAATTCCAAGTCTATGTAACAATGTAATCTATCAAGCACCTTTAATGTGTAAGTATGTTCATCATATAAGTTGGAAACTGTAAATCGCATTATTTTGCCGTGTTTCATATATCACACCAGAAATTGTTATTCTTCTATTTATCACTGATTATTATTAGTGATGCCACTAAATAATTAATGCTGAGATTAGAATAAAAAATTTAGATTCTTCGACAGTAAATTACTGAAAAATTCCTGAAAAAACTATACCATGTATTTAGATTATGTCCACATATTTAGTTCATTTGTGAGTTTATATTTAATATGTAGTAGCTTATCATTAATTAAATGTATGTATAAAGCCTAATCGATCATGCTAGACTATGGTGCACGTATAACAGATCGATAATAGTTGTAACGCATTTAGACAACTGGCTGATTTTCTGTGACATTTTCTTGTTTTAGGTTGTAATACAGATTTGGTCACAGATAGCTAATAGCCAAAATAAAACTTCTAAAACCACTTAATAAATAGAAAACATTCAGAACTAAATGCGAATTTCTCTCAAAGGTTATATATTCTGCGTCATAAAGTCATTTCCAAACATTTCATGTGCGTACCACATCATATAGTATTAGTATTAAATCTCAATAATTGTGTTAATTCAGATGATCGAAATGTTCACAATAATGAGCTTTTTCTTGTACTCTTGGATATGTAGTAGATGGTATTCAACTTATTCAAAATAAACAACTCTATTTATCTCATTGTACTCACATAATAATGTGTATCTAAGGTTTCTAAATATTTTTAAAAGTCAGATGTGGGTATAATCATTTCTGTAATATTGTAACAAATGGAAAACAACGTGTTCGAACAAAATCGTTCATTTTAACTAAAAAGTTAGAATGATTTCTTTTACTTAATAATTTTATAAAGCAAAAATGATATTGAGGTTAGCTAGAAGCAGTATTGTCAAATTGAGACAAAATATTAGGGTATTCATGATATAAGGGAGTCGTTTTCTTTCATCTATTAAACACGTAATGCTGAATTTAGACCAAAGTTGGATAGTGACTACATAAATTCAGGATGATTCATTATTTACACATAGTTTCAAAAACGTGTGTTAATAGACTTGTTAACTGGAGAAAAAAATTTAAATATAACTGGGGCTTAAAAACCTTGAATTCTTCACATTCATAGATAGCTAGAGATATATCAACCATGTTTATATCAAACCCGTGAAATAGATATAACATATCTCCTTATTAAAAGATTTATTCTAAGAAAGCTTTTATTTGCAATATGAATTTCATACAAGGTTATTTGACATAATCTTTAAAATGTAAATCAACATACAGATTATCGATTCAGTTATTCAACATTTCGTCATTTTGACACTCATGTTTAGCTCCGAAAGGCCCCTTAGCTCATGTTTATTTTAAAATATTTCTAAGTTTCAAATAATCATTCCTGTGATGCGATACAGAAACATGAACATTTTTTTTCAATACACTGATTACCTAGATAGATTTTTGTATCATCATTCAAATTCACAAATTAGAAGGATGACCTATGGACTAGTTACATTGATAAAGTAGCTGCATACTATAAAAGGCAAATATTGGGCTTAGCTGAACTATTCGAAATGCACAAATTAAAGTTGTCTACCTGTTGTGTTGTTCTATTCTGGTGGTCAGCGGAGTAATTGTGAGAAAACTACATTCTGGACCAATAGTTGTCAAGTATTTATGTCGGTTGTTACCTCATTATCATAGTGTCACTGGTTATTAGACAGTAATTAGCCCTATGTTGGAAATGAAAGCGAAATTATCGATAATCTGACTAAATCATACAATTCTTGATATAATTACGGGCCCCAGTACAAAACAAGAAACCTATTCTTTTTGACGTCATACCTTTAAGAAGAGAATTTTAAACTATTGATCCACTACTATTTAGATTTCGTAATCCAGTCAGCGTTGATCCAGTTATTGTTATTAGTTCATTTTAGCTCACAGGATCTAGGAAAACTACGTGGTAGGTCTTGATGAAAAATCATCTTAATATTTATACATATAATTCATATTCGTTTTGCTTGTTAGTCAATCCGTGCCAGCCTACTTATTAATTCACAATAAAACACAAACTATTAACAAATGTTGTTATTTTATGTTATTGTGTAGTGTTAGTCATTAGTTCGTAAAACGATAATATTTTAAAGTAGGTATTGGTAGCAGACAGAAGATAATGTCCTTCAGTTGTTGTTCCTGTTTTACATAGATTATTTATTAAATGAGAGCTAAAGGAGATATAAGAATTCTTCAAAACAAATGGCGAAGTACTTGTGAAACTTGCGAAAACAGTTTAGTTACAACTTTCCTTATTTAGGTCCACTTAACAGACGATTATGGTTTACAATCTTCGTTTACTAAAAATTAGTTTTTGTATCGTATTCCATGACTTTCGTTAAATGTAACTCCCAAGTCTTTTCTAAAATAGGCAGTATAACACTCGCTTTGCCAAAATCTCCATCAATGCCTGGTTCTATGTTCAGAATGATAAACGAGGAGAGTGCCGTAGAGAGTCAATAGCCAAATAACTAAAAAACTTTGCTAGTAAATATTTAAAACAAAACTCTTGCTCTTCGTTAAAGTAACTCCGGTTATTGCTAGCCATAAAGAAGTGAAATACACCATTTTTCAAACAACCACATTATTTGATCCTTCTGTTATGCAACCTCTAAATAATTTACGATATATTATGTACTATGTTTAGCAGCTCTTTTTTACTAAGTGGTTACTGGATATTAGTCAGTATCATCCTATCCAAAATCAAACTTTTCTAACCACATCTACGGTATGGGTTCAGATACAGATGACAACATTGCAGCTGGCTGTACGTTGTTTTTAATGGTTGGATTGAGTAAACCATACGACTGAGGTCTGTTCTTCCCAAACTGTCGATGCCTTTACAATAATGTATCTGCTAACTTTAAGAAAACATTTCTCAAAAGACGTTGTTAGTGAGTGGTTCATGGTTAACATTATATACATAACAAGATAAAATGTGCACAAGTGGAAAGACTCACACGTCCGCGTCGTGCCTCCTGGATAATGAGACGAATGTCTCATGAATCAACGTGAGCGGTAACCTGGGTGGTGGAGATCGGGCTAATCACCCACTCTACCTATACCCACCAACTGATTACAAACTCCACAGATAAACACAGCACAACTACACTTGGAATGAAAAAAGACAAAAAATCTTCTCGAAAGTGGTGCATGTATCAAGCAGAGTTGCTCATCATTGGGCTAACTTCAAAAGATCGCAGAAACAACCATAATAGTCCCGGTAGTCGTGTCGTGATTCAACGTAACCCACAGAGAGACATGGCACGATTACGTTTGAAATGGAAAGTGACAAAATTCTTGAAAGTGGTGCATGTACCATTTGGAGCGGCTCATCACTGGGCTAACTCCAAAGGATTGCAGAAACAACTATTCTAGCCCCGGTAGTTGTGCCGTGCTTTGATGTGGCCTGTTTCTCCAGAAGGGCCTACTAGGCTTCACCAACTAGTTTGGCTGGAAGGGGCATAAAAGTACAAATCAGATACATAGAAACTAACTATTTGATCTAGAATTTAAAAAATTATCTACAGGAGAAATAACACTATTAGTTAAAGGGGGTACATTGGAAAAGAAGCGTTATTTAATACTCATGGATCTACATTCGTAAATATATTTAAGGGGTCCAATTTCTAATAGTCAGTGAAATATATATACATCGAAAAATAGTAGTATAAGATACAATTACCGGATACAAATGTAACGATATAACATTATTAACTTTCTAGCCTGAGTCTGATCATTATAAATATTGAGATAACAAGTATTCTCTTGATGATAACAATATCATGTAAAACTGTTCGAAAATATTAGAATACTTAATAACATAGCTGGCAAGCCTTTACAATTAATGTACATTGTTCATGTTGGTATTTAGTTAGTTCTGAATAAAATATGATTTGTTTTGGGTATGAAACCAATGTTACAAATCTTTTGTTTATCATCTTAATACTAGACTATTAGTTAGATATTTAATATTAACACTATTTAATAAGTTAAAGACTGTTTCCGCTCAAGAACTATTACCGATAATTTTTTCAAATTTCGATTAAACCTTAGAATACTGAGTCGAAATCACCACCACAGATTGAAAGTTATTTGTTAACCAAAAAACTCAGGTCTATGGATTATTGGAGATCCCCATAAAATAATAGAGTAGCTTCCTGATGAAACTAATTTTGTGATACTTTTCAGGCATTTCAGTTTGTATCATACATTATCAGTTAACCAGTTAGTCTATGGTAAGCCACCTATTTATCAGTAAATGTTATGAAATAATTTTCATAAAAACTTTATTACTGCCAATTAAAGACGGGACAGAGTTATTTCATCCGTGCCAAAGAAGTAATTGAAAAGATCCATAAGGACGATTCCTGCACCCTTCTCTGAGCGACTAGCTTAATTAAAATTATTTAGAATTAAACGAATCCTATTTTGTAGTACTTCTATATTTCATAATTAGACTTGATGAAATTTGACTTTGATCACTCGAGTTTTGTAGTTCAGTTAATAAATCCTCAAAGGAGTAATTTTAAACAACATTCATTCAAATCCATATGAACCTCATACCTTTGTTTCACTTAATTCACATCAATTAAATTGATGATAAATTTCATTAAAAATTCAGTAGATTTTTAAAAGTTCCAATCGGAATTAAAATATTTAGCTTTTCGCTTGAAAGTCTGATGTGAAATCCATATGGAAATAATAAAAAAAAACTTAACTAATTTAAATATATGGTTCATAAAATGACTATATTTTAAACACTTGTCTTACTATGTTGATATGCTGGATTTGGAATCTGTGTGAAGATAAGTAATTTGGTGTGAAATTGTGTGAAATTATGGTAAGAAAACAAATGTATCTGCACGTAGATCTGATGCGGAAAGATCATTGATCATATGGTTGGTGATAAAGGTACTCAGTTTGACAGATGTCATAAATCGGACCTATTACAGTATGTACAGAGAATAAAAAATAAGTGTATCTTTGTGTTGTTGTGTTGAACATATATAAACGTACATAATAACTGACTGGAACGAATGGATAGGCGTCTTCTTTTACATAACATCAGATAAAACGGAATTAGTAAAATAAATTCATATTTACTTTATTGACCATTAAATTCTGAGGTGCAGCTAAATATGTTCCATCTCGACTATTTGTATAGTTTGCGATTAGTCATATATGCACGCCTATTCCATAAATTCAACTCCCAACTTCTGTGAAGCTATTTGTTAAAATGTCAAAGTGAAGAAAGCTAGCATCAAATAAATTCGATTATTACATTTGTGAACATTAATTTGCTTCTCTTTACTCAGTTAAATACATATTAGGACGAAACTGAAGACAAAATTATCTGAGGCAAATCGTGGTTACTGGTTAATTCGTAGAACACCTTGGCGTAACACTCGAAAAATCTACTGAATTTGTGTCTTAGTACAAGTGATACCATTTAAAGTTATTTAAAGCAGCCTGATTTTATGAGTAAGTTTTATGAAATAACAGTTATTGTACAAGATCATCTTTATCGGCAAATAACATGATAATTTTGTAGATCAGTGGCCTTTTAAAAATAAATCACGATATATTCAGTTAAAAATATTTTTGTGATCTAGGTTTCATCATAGCAATTAAAACCTATAAGTTAAAATTATAATAACGTCATGTAATCAGTTACAAACCAGGCTACAAAAATCGTATCACATACATGTACACCTACGTGTTGCAAATTTATCATGAAAGTATTAAAAAGTATACTTTTCCTTACCAAAGTACTGGAGTTTATGATCTTCTTATTGTAATGTGTTTTTATGACTTAAGGATAAATCTAATTCGATAAATACCTCTGAAACTTAAAATACGTATCGGTATTCATCCCACTTAGAAGAAGTTGATAGGAATACCTAGAAATTCACTAGTTATACTGATCCTCATCCAATCGATTGCTATTGTTTTATGCAAACATTTATTTCTCCGGAAAGCGAAAATATTTTTTGTTGCATATTAGTTTTCCACTATCTCTCGTATGACTCAGCACTTCAATATGGACTTTACACGCTGTATTATGCAATACAGGTTTGGTATGAAAGTCAACTAAATTACTCTGTGAATGCACTAAAATAGGCGGACTGATTTAATCTGATGAACAAATAGGTGAAATTCAAATGTCTAGATACATAATAAAGCAACAGAATTTTATTGTAATGGATAACTCACTTCGAGCATCATTAGTCACAAAAAAATAATGATAGGATATTTTGTCAATATCTGTAAGAAATAATTTGTATTGTGACGTATTAGTTACACTGACTAAACTCTCAAACGACGGCTTCACTTTCCAATAATAAAGTTTCTAGTCAAATCAAATCAAAAATGTTTCAGTATTATGAATGACTAATAACAGAGCACAGAACTAATAGGACATAAAATCTGAGAAAAATCACATTCTTTTACTTCCTGTTCGCTAAAAAAGTATTTCATTGACTGTTAAACTAGAGATTTTCGAGACATAACCTTTACATAAAAACGTTCTTACTGGTTGTTTGGTTTCATTGATTTGTGTTTTTTTTTCAGTAGATAAAAGAAGCTTTCTATTCAAATTTGTATCAAGTAATTCTGCTAACAATGTGTTCGCGTATAAGGAACTATCATTCTGTTCTTTGTGTAATTGGTGGGATCATTATTCAATGTACTTACGGGTACTTTTATACAATCGGTACTGTTTATGTACATTAATGTTTTAATTAAACCACTGATTATATTATGTAGGTAATATGGCTCCATACATTTTGGACTATTTTCAATACCATAATAAGTCAATTTATGATAATTCCATCATGTGGTTGACATCAGTTGCTTTAGGAATGGAGGCATTAGCCATGCCGATTGGTGGAGCATTGTACCGTAAATTAGGAATCAGAGCAGTGGTAATAATTAGCAGTTTAATCCATAGGTTGGTGAAAATATTTTTCTGGATTTTTTTTTCGTTATCGGTGTTTATTAGTATGTTTATTATAAAAATCATTTACTTAAGAAGTATTATTTATTGTTGGCTAAGCGAAATAAGAAATAATTCTAAAAATAATTTTGACATTAAACCCAAATGATAACAAATATCAATTTGACTGATGTTAAATTTATATATAGTTGGGAACCATCTTGGTCAAAGTGAATTTGTGTGGTTCCAAAACTTGGTCAGCATTTGTTATTCAGATAACTAAGTTCGATGACAGCATTTTTAAAAAGATTCAGCTCACACATATGAAAAAGTAATGCTCATCAGTCAATACCACGGATTTGTTGAACAGTTTGAATCGTAGATACTGGTGATTCACGTATTATTGTTTTAGTATTTTAATATAAGTGATTGCTAAATTAATAACTCATACTAAATAAGAAGCATTCTCTGCAGTTATTACATGTTCGCAATTGAAATTCAGTAAATTAAGTAAGAAATATTCTTTCAACATAATGGGATTAGTTAAGAAGAACCATGGATTAATCAACGTTGATATAATTGTTTCTTCTCAACACAAGAAGTCAGAAAACACTTAATAGTTAGTCTGAAACGTTTTTTGCATTAACCCCTATAAACTAAAATAGATCCTCTGAATATTCCTCTGAGTCAAACGGTGGAAAAAATTAGCCATTCATTCATGTTTACTACTTCTCTATTTGATATATCACTATCAGTTAGACTGTTAAGTGACATGAATATTGTACACGCTTTCAGACGATTCTGAAAACAATCCTAACTGTTACTCGATGGAAATGAAGGAATATATGGTCTAGAAATTTGAATAATTTCAGTTTGTAAGTAGGACAAAACATTCACTATTCAATAAAGCATCTCACATTCAAATTCACGTTAGCTGAACAGAAGTCATCTTAAATGACATTTTTACTTCTGTAAGTACGTAACTCTATAGTTAGTTATTATTCCAGTCTAAATGTGTATTATTTGGATAAATCTTAACAAAGTATATTTGTTGAATAGCACATATAACCAAGAAAGGTATTCTTTATGTTTTAGCGGAGGAATCACCTTGAGTTATTACACACTGAAATTGGGATTCATTCCATTACTGATTACTTATGGTGTAATGCAGGGTTTCGGGTTTGGATTCGGTTATTCAGCTACTATAGCTGCATCAATTGCAGTAAGTTAAAGAAATGAAAGTTGTACTATTATGTATAATAACTAGTGCCAGTTCTACGTCGTAATGTCTATGATGAGGTTATTTAGAACGGTAATGAAAATTTTCAAAATAAATAGGCTATCTTAGAAAACGGATGAAGCTTGCAAAAGTCAGTCTATCAACAATTAGCCGACAAATCACGTTGCATCCAATATATCAAACCATTTGAAAAAGTTCAACCAACAACTTGATGAAAAGTCAATGGAACAAAATAATGGACTGGAATAAACTGGAAACTGGAGACACTGAAATATACGAGGACAAGCATTCACAATCATGTTCACCAGAACAAAATGATTTAAGACTCATAGAACAACTAAGAAGCTCACTTATACATAAAGTAAACAAAGTGACAATGAAAGTTCCACAAATATACCATCTAGCACAGAGAACTCGACAATACTAAAGGAATCTATCCGTGTCTCAAATCTCTATCACGTTTAGTTATATTTGTGCTTGAGTCATTATCTTGTAAGGGTTTACGTCCCAGCTCAACACGTCGGGAATTAAAGAGGTGTTAATTAATTTGTTTAACCAAATTAATTAAACATTGAGATGCATTAGCACGTATAAAAATTACAGGATGCTTTCCTTGTATAAAAATAAGAAATTTATTTAAGAGTCACTTTATATAGTTGATGTTGAATCACATTACTGTATGTTAATTTAACACTTTTTGGTAATAGTGTTATATCCGAACAAATTATTTATGGACTATCAATACATAAACATATTGAATAATTATTAAGTAACTAGATTATATATATATATATATATATATATATACATATATATATATATATATATATATATATATATATATATATATATATATATATCCGTATTCCTTATATCATAAGCTTTCATTTGACGTATTGGCTACTGTTGTACGATTTAGTATTCTTAATTTATTCCCAATCTGTTAGTTACAGTCCTTAATACTCACAGCCATTTTGGGCTTGATGTTGCATAAATATTATTTTTCATTTTCTGGCTTTATGCGGTCTGATTTGCTTATATATAAACCACGTATGTCTGAAATACACGATTCATACAGTGGAGGCTGAGATTGTTTTCTAGACTTAATGGGCAAGGTAGAAGGATCAACAGGGATTCAGAGTTAACACAAGGCTGCCAGTGTTGTTTTGACGTGTCAGTGACTTAGCACAAGAATAAAATCATATAAGTCGGTATTTGTATTGGCGATTTTGTCACGTGATAATTAACAAGGAAAATGTCATAACAAACAGATTACTCTTGCAGTTAAAGTATAGCATGATACAGTTAGACGTTTATCATTGTTTTTGTATAGAGTTCATAACCACAGTTGACGTTGATTATAAACATTTTTTGTCCGTATTGACTTCTTTACTTAACAAGAATTTATTTATTGCTATTAATCTATTTTATACGGATGTATTATCGAATAATTAATAGGATCCGTGAAACGAACATTATTTCGATACTCTATCCCATGATACCATTAATTTTCATAAACCTATAGATTAATGTATTACTGACGGATAAATCATTTCCACATGCCCGACCGAAGCTGCTACCTTGACGCGGTGGTCGGGCTTGCCTATTGTGATGACCCAACCGAGCTATATTGGCTGGAACATATGTTCCTGTAGGTTCTACCATGCCAGGCAGGTCGATTGGTGAACGGTATGACTAAAAGCAGCAACTCAAGGTCTGAGGGCGAAGTCGTACTGCTGACTGTAGAGAGGTGTGATAGCAGTAAGGTGTTTCCCTCGGACAACCAACATGACAGCGATGCTGCGTTCCCACAAGGAGGGGTGGGGTTAGAAAAGGTCGATCCTAAAAATGTCACACCTCACCTTACCTCACGGATTTCCGTCTCCGACGGTAAGGCCCTTTGAAAAACGGAGCTAACACGTCAAAAACCATCCACGAAAAAGCCGTGCGCGACCGGCCTCAGGTAGTTGTCCCTTGGAATCTGCGGTCACGCTCCCAGGTCGTTAAGACCAACACTAATCCAATTTCGTTTTCAGGTTCCTCAAGAAATACCTTTTCACTGTGTGGGCAGCCGGGAAGTGATATCAGCCCTCATACCCGTAACAGCACACGAGACCAAGTTGGTCACATTCAAATCCTTTCTACACCTCCTAATACCTCTCTTATCTCCATGACTAACCCTCCTCACGTCTCTTTACCACCTCGCACCGCTAGGGCAAACGATTCGAGTACGCGGAACGCTATTACTGGTCTCCTGAAACCACGCTCTAAAATACACGTAGGAGCTTTTAACGTACGAACACTGTGCCAAATAGGACAGCAGGCTTCCTTAGCTAAAACTTTAGAATCTCGCGCCATCGATGTGTGCTGCGTCTCCGAAACGCGCATACAGGATCCAAGTAGCGTCATTCATTTGACCTTACCATGCCAAAATAAAGAACCGACTCGATTTACGCTTCGTGTATCTGGAAGCCCTGATTCTGCTTCCCGTGGCCTCGCCGGCGTAGGTATAGCATTGAATCCTAGGGCAGAACTAGCTCTCTTGAAGTGGATCACAGTAGACAGTCATTTGTGCGCTGTCCGACTGAACGGAACAGTAAGAATCCGGAAAGATAGGGACACTCGTCGTTGCCTCTTCGTCGTCTCTGTCTATTCTCCCACTGACTGCAGCTCAGATGATGTAAAAGATGAGTTTTACAGAAAGCTTTCGGACCTTCTCCGAAAAGCTAAGCGCTCGGATGTAGTAATAGTGGCCGGTGACTTTAATGCTCAAGTAGGTAAACTAAGCGATAGGGAAAGACACCTGGGTGGATCTTATAGCACCGTGGCTCAAAGAACAGATAATGGCGACCGTCTGTTGCAGCTATGCTCAGATAACCGCCTGTTCCTTGCAAATACTAACTTTAAGCATAAGGTAAAACATCTTGCAACATGGCGACCCCCTAATTCATCCCAACGTTGGACCCAAATAGAACACATCGCGATCAGCCACCGATGGATGGGCTCGATAGAAGATTGTCGCTCATTCTGGAGCACATGCCTAGATTCAGATCATGCTCAAGTGCGAGCGCGTATTTGCTTGCGTCTTACTGGACGTAAGAAAGACGCTGCAAGGAAAACTCTTAGGGGCCTACTCAATGATATTCAAGCTAAGAGTATATTTCAGGAACAACTAGGAAAACAGTTAGGCAGCCATGTATGTGATGCCCACCTCGATGCAGCATGGAATGATATCCGAAAAGCTGTGGAAACAGCAGTGATATCTGCTAGTAAGGTAAACCAGAAGGTTAGGGAACAACACTGGATCTCAGCAGCATCAACCGCACTGATAGGTGCTCGAAAACTAATTCCATCTGGATCTGAACATAACGAAGAGCGGAGTCAGCTTAAGCGCAAGCTGACAAGAAGTCTGCGCAATGATCGCGAACAGTGATGGGTAGCGAAAGCAAGAGAGATGGAAAAGGCAGCGGCAATAGGTAATAGCAGACAATTGTTCAGACTCGTTAGGGAAACCGGAATTAGGAACCCGACCGTTAGCGAAACAATCTCAGAGAAAGATTAACATATTATTCATTCTCAATCCAGGAGATTGGATCGATGGGCAGAACACTTTAGGGATCAGTTCAACTGGCCTTCAGCCACATTTCGGTTTACAACCATCTACAGTCAACCTGAATGGCAAGTTAATGTAGGTCCTCCGTCCCTTTACGAAGTTGAAAAAGCCATAAGAAATCTGAAACGAGGGAGAGCAGCAGGCCCTGACAGGTTTACTCCTGAGATTTTTAAGGATGGTGGTCCAGTATTAGCAATGAGATTAACTGAGGTCTTAGGTAGAATTTGGGAACTGGACGTAATCCCATCTGACTGGTCTCAATCACTGATTGTGCCAGTGTCTTCGAAACATTGCTCGTATATCATGGGACCATCGAGTAAGTAACACAGTTGTTAGGAAACGGGTACTAGGTAAGGATGGTAAATCAATTGATGAAGTAGTAAAACTTCATCAGTTGAGATAGCTGGGACACGTGTTACGTATGCCTAACGACCGACTGCCTCGACGTGCTATGTTCAGTGGTATAGGAGTAGGTTGGAAGAAAGCTAGGGGTGGCCAGACTAAAACATGGAACAAGTCCATGAGGTCACTGACAAGTGGACTGAGTCATGTTAGTAAGTGTAGACTATGTGGTTGGGGACCGTGAGATGATAGCAACCGATGGTTAGAGACCCTGAATGACATGGCTCAAAATCGTTTGCAATGGCGCAGGTGCATCCACTCTCTGTGTTCTCTCGAATTCTAATCTTCTGAATTCTTCATGTCCCTTTTTTCCTCTTTCCAAATTTATTTCACTGCATTATACTCTTTAAATAACATCTCCAAACCCTAATCTTCCCTATTACTGCTTATACTCTTATTACCTCTACCACTTCGGGATTTGAATCGACAACTGCATCTCTGTGCTAATGTGGTATGGCAACTCGAACTGATGTACGTACATACGAAGTTCTACGTTGTACTGACTGACTGACTGACTGAGTGACTGACTGACTGACTGACTGTCAAGTTTTAAAAATATGCATATTTATTTTGTTCTCCTTTTCATCAGCTGTATTCCTATATTCCCATCAACAAGAATGCTTCTGATACTTTGTCTTTCTTCTATTCAATAGTGGTTTCAAAACAATCGAGGTTTAATTGTTGGCCTAATTGTTGGTGGTTTCGGGGCTGGTCCCATCATCTTTACATCGATTCAAACAATATACATTAATCCAAATAATATCAAGACAGATGACAAAACAAAGTCAGTAAATATATTTGATAAGCTGAACATTTGACTGAAACGTAGTGCACATCCCCACTTCCTAAAAGTAAATATTCATCTATTAGTTGTTCAAGTATTCTAGAAGGACAATGTCACGATTTACCAGAGATAGGCTCAGGTCACTTTAAATAGTTTAGCTTCTTGCGAGATCTCTCATAGATTTCTAAATCATATAAATTCGTAAAAGTAACAACGGAAAGACCCAATTACCATAAGTTACAATCCCCAAAACGCTATTACACTAAAATAACTTCCATAACATTGAAAAACACCTATAAATTTATAAAGTACCGTGATAATGTGTACGACAAAATATTAAATATAAGACATCTACTATCACCACTACTACTAATACTACTATTACTGAACATATTATTGCACTTTCATGAATAAAATCCATCTGACTAAGAAGCATTCTATCAAATCAATGTCAACTAGTTATGCAGGGATTCGTGATGTTAGTACAGATCAAACAATTTTGTATGACCACTTTTTGAGCTCCGATTGGTCATTAAGAGTGTAATTCAAACAAAGTTTTAAATAAATGAAAAAAAGGTCGGTTTTTTCCATATAAGTGCTCGATTCAGATTACTAAGGTTATGAACACTGAACAAAAATACACTTCTTTAATTTGTCAATCTACACTTTTTGTAATTTGATCTGATCAATCATAAGTTTCTTCTGAGTTCATATTAAAAAATCTCAATTTTTAACTGTTTATTGAAGTGGAAGATAGAGTTATTCTAGTATCTTATTAATAATTTACTGATTTACATCCGCTCACCAATTTAGTTAATTGTGAGATTTGTTTTTATATACAAGTAACCATGCAAAAGGAGCTATTAGTTATTACGTATGGTTCCTATTTATGCACTATTTAGAGCTCACATTCATCATAACACATTCTGTGATATGGATATTCTTTCCATTGTTTTAGACTGTAACATTCACTACATTTTGTTAAAGCATCACTTTGTAACAATGAATATATTTTTTTATCTTCATTCAACAGGCGATTTGTAGATGTTGATCTACTTAACCGTGTTCCTTCTGTGTTTCTACTTGTTGGTGGTGTTTTGTTAGTTATACAGTTAACCGGGTTATATTTGATGAGAGATAAACAAAAGGTAAGAACACATTGATTAAAGGATGATGTAGAGATATCAAACAACCTTTTCACCTTGAAATGATATTATCAGTACAGCAATTATAATATTGTATTTTACATACTGAACTATTATGATAGTTGGCTGGTTATTTTGAACAATTGATTGCAAGAAACTTATCGTAATGCCATAAACATGTACGATATTTTCTATTATTCATTCAAAAGTTTATAGGAATAATCGCTTTTAATGTATCCTACATGTTTGTGTTTAGTAGAAATCCCAAGACAAACAAGTATTCTAGTTTGCGAAAAATGATTTCCTGTTGTAGCTGAAGTTGTTCAGTTTTTAAATTTTATTTATGCCATTTTATTAGTTTAATTTGACATCAATCTTTATTTTCTTTATCTAAGAAGGCGATTGTTCTGTTAACGAATCACGACTTCAAGGATCCAGATAAGTCAGTAAGTTAAAATAGCTAAATATAAATTTCTGTATCTAGCAAACTTTATCAGTTTTGGATGTCTCACATTATTTTTTTAAAATGTCAAACACCAAAGTTTTTGCATAAACAACAAATTACTTGAGAATTAGTTGCATCTTGCAATTTAGTTAACAGAACAATAGGATTGTAGTCTACAAAGACTGTAAACCAAGCAACAAACTTCGTTCGATTGATGTTTTGACTACTCATTAGAACAGAATTCAGGTTATAAATTAATTTCCTTTGTATTCATTTAATAGAAATGCAGTAAGTAATAAATTTCCAGTTATAATGAACTACAGTGAATAAAACTGTAACTTACACCAGACTGATTTAGTCAAAAATAAATACTGCTTTCGCTTCAGAAAAAAAGATAGTACCAGACTAAGCTTTAATAGATTTAGTGAAAGTTTAATTATATTGAATTAAGATTTACTACATAAGTGGGTTTAATGTCTAAAACGTTGTCTAGTCCTATGATCACAAAAAATTGTAGGGAAATTTCTACAGAGTTAGAATGCAGGTTCAAAAATACCGTTATATTCTGTGAAATAAGCAGTTTCTAAGAAGTGCATTAACTTTGTTTCTTTATATAAACATAAACACGAACAATGTCTCACGGTAGTTACTTAAAGCGTAATAATGTGGACAAGATAATTATGAATCAAAAAGTAAAGTAAAACTAAGATTTCTCATTATTTGAATTACCCTATATAAAGTTAATAAAAGTATCATGTTGATCTCATAATAACTACATTTTCTGTTAATCATGCATCCCAATTCCTTTATTTTATGTAACAATATAAAACAACCTCAGTCATTGTAACTAACAATTTTATAATTTTTCTTTGTTGCTTAGCATGAATTTCCACCTGTTATAAAGTAAGTTAACGGATTTTATTGGTGAGTTACTATTTGTCATAAATAAATGTCGTTGTAAATTTTGCTGCATATGTAAAACATTTGAATTTCGAAACACGACAAGGGAAGGTAGCGTGAATGCTAACAAATTTTCGTTTCACTTTCAAAAACGAGTAAACCTGCTTATTTAGTAATCGGTGAATAAGTCATACTGCTACGATAGTTTCATTTACAATCCACGACCTTGATCATTGATGATACTAAACTAGTCCACTTTTAACCGCCTCATAAATTCGCTCCATTATACATGATGAAAACATTTTGCAGTTATCAGGGATACTATTAATCTCAAGTTGGAACATTGCTGGCCATCAATAAGGTCTAATTTCGATTTATTTGTTTTTCTTGTGTATAAACTTATGTTTATAGAAACATGTATATAAATAATACTTCTGAATTACCAAATTTCATGACACGACCTCAAATCAGATCTTTAACCTACATCCATAATGTTAGTTTACATTTTTTAGGCAAACATAATCAAGGAACAGTAGATGTTACTTGGAAAAATAAATATTATCTTCAGTATCAGTTAACCTTATTTTTGTATTTTCTTAACGTATATTTTGTCTCATAAATTAAAGTCTCAATCCCGCAATAGACCAGACAATATGAACAAATTAGCTAATAAAACATTGAGATACTGGTAGGACAACGATATTTACGACGTAAATGTATGACGGTTTATGCTTGAATCAAAGAGGATCTCATAGAGACTTCGGCCACACTTTTCGAATCCCCGGACAAACGTTTGACGAGAATACTTACTACCTGATTCTTATTGCGTGGTCTTTACAATCTCACTATCACTAACCTATATAAAGAGTAATGTCACAGAATTTTATATTAAAAATACCTTGCAATAAACAGTGGCTCTATATGCTTTTTAACTCTGCATATGAGATATAACAAACAAAAACTAATCACCATCATCATTGCTTCAATAGCTTGAAAAAGTCTCAACAACCTTCCACTCCGTTTTTCAAAAAGACATTGTAAGCTGACGCCAGCGCATTCTGGTGTAAGAAGCAATAAATTTGAGTTTGATTGGTTTGAAACGTCACCAATCGATACAAACACGTTACATCAAATACATTAATGTAGACACGAAAACACTAGTAGACCATACCACAGGAAACACATAGGACGATCCAATACATAAAATCTGATTGACAGGAATGCAATATTTGAAGTGATCAAATCAAGAATGAACGGAGGTTTTGTTGGTTAATCTGTCTATTAAATAAAAATGTATTAATAACATATTCTTCGAAATATCACCCTATAATGTAGAATATTTCTTACAGATCTTTAGGATGTGAAGCAAGGTGAGTAATGCGCTGTTCTTTAGTTATCATTTATAACTCTATAAGGTTAGATTTTTCTTCGCATTTGTCGATGTCTGATTGAAACTGAGACGTATTTTTGTTAGAATATGCAAAACAACATCTATGTATACATTATTTCGCCAATGTGAATTAATAACAATTTAATCCTTGCTTGCATGACTCAAACTCCCACCGTCTACAGAGGTATGAAATGGCAATTGTGATTAAATTAAAAATTAGGACGATAAAGAAAATCAGAATGGCAAATGTCGTATTTTGCTCTTAACACTGAAACAATCTTTCACATTGATAATTTATCGAAAAATAATCAATGTCATTAGTCAAACTTTAACGAGTTTGGCGGTTTGATACCCATCAAACGATTTAAAACACCGCATTTTATAACATTTCAAATCCCTGGTGAAAAATAAGTTACATAGTATCTCTAAACATAGTTTATCTACCTATTATTGAAGTTCAAAACCTTAATCTTTACAGTTCTTGTCTTTGCTTATCTTCTAATCATGCAAAACCAAGTATTAAAACTTTAATACACTTAGATCACTATTAAATTACAAGTCATTCGTTCAGCCTTATTTCGGTGTATTTATGTACTATGTTTACATTTCACGGCTATTAAAAGATCTATTCTTTTATTTAAATAGTAGTACTTACACAAGTTCAATTAGTTGCAAAAGCGATATGATGCCCAAGAATTAGGCCTAAAAATTATGTCTTAGCTTGTATGAGAGTAAGTGACCTACAGATTAACTTCCTCCATTAATCCGTAACATTTGATCATCTTTGTCTTGTATCGATATTTTGTACATAAGCACTCCATCTTATTAGACAAAAAACTAAAGCTTTAGTTATTGGTTTTGCCTTTGATTTCGATTCATTTTGAGGCTTACGTAAATAATTACGATTTCATGAACAGTCAGTGTTCGGCCAGATCGTATCATTGAGATCCTTTCATCCGAATCCTAAAAAAATTCAATCATCAAATCACTAAAATCCTACTCCATAATAAAATCTAATTTATTCTTGACTTTTATCGTTACATTAAATGAAATAAGAAATCCGATAGACAACTGACCACATATGAACAGTTGATTAGCTATTCCGAAGCAATTATTCTACGTTCATACTGAGAATTCGCAGTTCAGTTTTTATGACATTGTAACCGATCACTTTATATCGGTACTCAGGAATTACCTGTGTTATGTGGGATGCACACGTTCATATCTTGGAAATCTATATATTATTAATCAGGTGTTGATCTTAATACATTCTCAACTTCTAAACATCACTCATCAAATATCAAAGTATAATGTATAGCGTGACAACTCTTTAAGAGGCATATTTAATGCACTTTATACTAGGATTCCACTAGTACCATTTAATATCGAAATACAAGTCATTATTCCAAATATAAAAAGCTGGATTATGTTACTGATCAATATCATGAAATGTCGTCACAGCTACAAAATATACCAAATAAACATCAAACGATTTGTTTCATTGTAAATATCAATTGAATTAAATAAAATGGTTTGTTATTGTTAAGCGTGTTTATTTTTCTTGACAAAGTTCAGTAAATTTACGACCTTTGGAATTATTGAAACAGAAAGAATTTTATTTTTTATGGATCATTATATTTTGTGCTGGAATACCTTTGACATCGTTGGCAACACTTTTCAAGGTTAGACATATTTCTTTAAAATCCAGTAAGGTTTGTTGTTCTATTTGGTTTAAACTGATTTTGTACAGAATTCTGATCAGCTACTATGGCTAAAACATGTGATACTGTTTGATTAACATAATCAATAAAATAGCAATCTTGATTTATAGTATTTAGGTTTGCATAGAAACTAAAAGTGTTGAATCACATTTTGGCTATTATATTGTACAGTTAGAATACAATTTACACTAGTCACCTTTAGCAAAATACTTGTTACTAAGTGGCAGTACCCAGCCAACCTATTCAAAATGCATATTTGCCAGAAACGACAAATTAATTGCATTCCTATATAGTAGTGACGGGAAAATTCAATTATGTACAAATAATTTGCATCCGTCAGCATTATCGGGAAAATCGGTGAATATTGACTGTGTCTAACTTACAATGTTCTCTGGATTTGAGCAATTACTACTCATATATTAAGAGGACTGTGGTTATCAGTGATTACAGTGAAAGGCAGTGTGCATGAAAATAAAAAGATTTGTAAAATTAATAAGTCAACAATGGATTTTAATGTAAATAGGATAAGTTAAATGTTTTAGTGGCAGTAATGAAAGGTAATAGAAGGGTTAAATGAAATCAGGTGGTTTCAGAAACAACTATGGATAAAGTCATGAGGCTATAAGAAATGATCTTTCATTGTAAGTATTTTCATTTGATAATCTAATATTATAACCTTCCTACTACAATATTACGCTTATTCAAAAATCAACAATTATCATCACAAGAATTATGTTCTTAGTCTAACGACAAATTATATCACAATTCAAGGTTGAATTATAGTCATTATTGGTGATATAATGTGAGTATACTGTATTAAATAAAAAATAAATTGAGATTCCTGGTAAAAAAAACAATATAAAGAATATTTAGACATTGTCTATTAACTTATTAACTTTTGACCCATTTTATCAAAAACTGATGAGAGTAAACTGTATCTTAATAAAGTTAGTAAAAAATTTTATAGACTATACATTCAAATATTTCAAATCTTTCACAAACAATAAATTTTGGATTAAACAAAACTGAACCTTTGTTTGTTTGTAAATTTAAATGTTTCATTAGGTTTGATGATATATTAGGATTGAAATGAAACTAGTGGGAATTGGAATATTCATCCAAATATTAATTTCATTCATACATTTACAATCCATCGCCACAGTGAAAATTAAATATCAACGTTTTTCACTATGTTTCTATAATAATACTAATAGCAACTAACCTACATTCAACTAAAAAACTTCGCTTGAATGGATGAAACTATTTGCTTATCTAAAACTCACCAATCAGCCTTATCTGATAGATATGGTAAAGATGAACTCTGATTTTAGTCTTATCCCACTCCATTTTTTCTTCTTAAACTACTGAGTAGAGCGGATTGTATATGACTTATCATCAAGTAGTTATTGGCAATGTGCTGGTAAAAATCGATGCACTGATTCACAATGACAAACCACCAAAATCAGAACAAATTGATGACTGAACCAAACAAGAACAAAAAATATTTGCAGAATACGGAAAGCTTATTGCATTTCGTTAACTTCTCTGTAGCTATATAGAAGCTAACAAGTTTAATTATTTCCAAATATTAACATGACATCCGATCTGAAGTAATGAACTATTATTCGGTTATTGGAAATGTAAAAAAGATAATAAGTGAATTTTTAAAAAGGTTTTATTATTATTATTATTATTTAAAATGGTAGTTTCAGAATACGTGAGAAAATATTATAGCATAATGTAACAACATTTTTAGAAAGTTTAGAAAGAAAAATGGGACGTACGATTTTAATTCTCTAGATTGTGATTTTCATCAATTGGAAAAACAAGAAAGGAATGAAAGCCTTAAGTTGCTTCTGTTCCCAAGCTAGTTGAAGACTAACCACAAAGGTCAGCCCTTTAAATATTATGGGCGCTGCGAATCTTGGGAAGACAGTATCAGATTGTTTATTGATTGATTTAATACATTCAATGAATTAGCATATAATTCTTAACATTTTTTTAAGCCACAGTCAACAGATTCCTTACTAATAATCGAATTTTCAACATTATGTTAATAACTGGAAATAATTAAACTCACCAGCGTTTATGTAGCTGAACAAAAGGCTACAAAATAAAGTCTTCATATTCTGCAAGTACTGCAGTTCGTCCTTGGTTTAACTTCGTGAAGAAAATCAATTATGTGAAAAATCGATGACCGTTTTGATTGCACTTACTTTTAACAATTGACTTTTACTCTCGGTGACACTAGTAAGATGATCTATCAATGATAACTATTAAGAGATTTTGGGTTATATGAAACCGACAGGCTGATTTAAGTAAAGGTATTTTCTAATGACTGCCAAATCGATAGTTTATTCTGAATGAAGTTTCAGAACCATTGAAGATCAGAAATCACTAAGCATTTTTATGGACTTCTAAACAATTTCTGTTTTAAACGAGTTCGCTAAGGTTTGGATAAAAACCTTCACTTTACTCAAAACATTTTAGGTAAACTTCTCCATAACTGCTACATTTTCAATAGATTCTAATGGTGCATCAGATGAAAGAACCGATGTTTCCAGAAAATTCCACTTAATATAAAGTTGTGAATCATAGTTACTTGGAAATGGGAATGACAGTTCTTCAACTTTAGTTAGTTTTATTAAGTAAACGACCCATACATTTTATGGTAATATTTCATAATAGTAAATTTAACTTTGTAAAAGCATTTGAAATAAGACAAACTGATCTGTAAACCTCTTTGACATTTTGATGTCAAACTGTTTAATTAATTTGATGTTTACCAGTGATTCTGTAAACCTTATATTTCTTTGAGACAATTGGAATAGTCACTTCGTAACACCAGGAATAAGTTGTTTGCTATAATAACAATGTTTGTGTTTTATCTGATTGCTTTTCCTATTGGAATTTTCATGACTGTTGAAAGATTAAAAAAGCCATACTTAAGTGAGAACAGCATCCCCAATACTTAAAAGAATTAATAATGAACACTGATTTACAATTTTTCAGCTTTTTGGTAAAACTCATATTAACGATGACAGATTTCTTGCTATTATGGGTGTCGTTGCGGCTGTATTTAATTCCGTCGGACGTGCTTTCTGGGGTGCTATCAGTGATCGTATTTCGTTCAAGGTAAATTTCTAAAGTTTTTTCTTCATTCTGAAGTTTAGAAAATCTTATTTATAGAAATCATTACCTCAACATTTGTCACACACTTAACATAAAATCTAAACTTCACTATTTACAATAAAATTCCTTTATAATCAGAATATTATTTTTGACTGATTGATTCTTAATGAATTTCCTGCTCGTTGAGCATAAAATTGTTTGTTGTTTCTCTAAATCAGCCAAAAAAATCAGTGTTTACTCAGTGAGCTGTCTATAGTTATCATTGACTGAATCGAAACAATAATTACTTATACTTGTTACCCCTCGTAAAGGAGCATAAACCGTTCAACAGGTTTCTACGTCATACTCTCTTCTGAGAGATAATTCCCAGTTCTTTCCAGTCACTACCCATTCTTCTGTCTGCTTCCAACTCAGCCGTAATGTGTTCCCTGGTCTTCTTCTTTCTGTTTCCCTTCGGGATTCCAAGTTGTCGCTTGCTTCGTGGTGCAGTTTGATGATTTCCTTAATATATGTCCTATCCACTTCAAGCGTCTTTTTCTAATCTCCTCCTCAGGTGGAAGCTGGTTTGTTCCCTCCCACAATAGGCTGCTGCTGACAGTATTCGGTCAACAGACATTAAGTATCTTACGTAGACAATTGTTTATAAATAATTGTACCTTTTTGGTGATGGTTGTGGTAGTTCTCTGAGTTTCAGCTCCGCACAATATAACTAACTGTCTTGATGTTCAAAATGAAGGTTCTGACTTTGATGTAGGTTAACATTTATTTTGAGTTCTATATGTTCTTCAGTTGTAGGAATGCAGTTGCTAGTTTGTCAAACCTTGCTTTTACGTTCACATCAGATCCTCTATCTTTATCGATAGTGCTACCTAAGCACGCATTAGTTTCCACCTCATCCAGAGCTTCTCTATCAAATGTGATTGGGTTGGTGTTCTCTATGTTGTATTTGAGGATTTTGGCTTTTCCGTTGTGTATGTTCAGGCTTACTGATGCATAGGCTGCTGCTACACTGGCTGCCTTCACCGGCATTTGTTGGTGCGTATGGGATAGAAGAGAGGTCATCTGCGAAACATAAATTACCAACTGTATCCAAGCTGTCCGTTGTATTCCGTGATTCCCCTGAGAACCATAGGTATTTCATGCCCGTTGTCTTTACAATCGATGGCCGAGGAAAAATGAATTCAGTAAGAACTAGTACACAAATGTACTTGAATATATATTACAATAATTGGATTCACCACTATATGCAGTGGTAATAAATAATCAAAGTATAATAGCACCTAATGGATAAGTAAAGCAAAGTAATGGTGGTTTTGGATTAACAGCAGAATTAGGTCACTATGTAACTGAACTGGATTTATCTTGAAGCTGGAACTTAGAATCATCAGCACTTGTATTAGAATAGAAATAGCTTTGACAATAGAACATCCAGTAATTGTATCTTGGTGAGATAAATCCAGGAATAAGTTACAATGGTCTAATTTGCATTATGTTGAAATAAATTCATAATGTACAAAGTGTCAATCAGTCATCTTGTCTCTGGTATTTATGGATCGATATTATAATGGAATATGACTGACAGATAGATAAATAGGGAACCGAACAAAGGAACATTTGAAAGATTTACCTATAAGGTACTCGAATTAATCACCCAAGTGAGCACGAGTCAATCAATATAGTTGAACTAATTTATTTGACAATCGCTTGCTCAGCTATACATCGTATTTCAAAATGAATTTACGATCATCTAGTTGCATAGCCGTTGATTGCATTTCGTGCTTCTCTTGATATGTGGAGGTCTTTGTAATCGAGCCGATCACCAAAAAATATTGAGAAAGAGTGAGTAGCCTTGTTTGACACCGATCTCCACTTGCAATGAATCTGTGAGTTGTCCTTCGTGCATTACTTTGTAGTGTAGTCCGTCGTATCAATTACGGATGATGTTGACAATTTTGTGTCAAACAAGGTTCCATTAAGTTCTCATAGCAACGCCGTCAAATGCTTTCTGACAGTCAAGGAATTCGATGTATAGTGATGAGTTTCATTCAATTGATTGTTTAACAGTTATCCGTGATGTCGCGATTTGAACTGCGCACGACTAATACTTACAGAATCCAGTCCGTTGATCTCGAAGTTGAGTGTCTACTGAATCTTTCATCCGGTCCAGCAACACTTTGTTGAAAACGTTTCTTGGTACCGATAGTAATGTGATGCATCTGTAGTTCTGACATTTGTTCAGATCTCCTTCCTTTGGTATCATGATGCGGCATCCTTCTTTCCAGTCTGTCAGAACTTGTTCTTACTCTAAAATCTCTCTGAATAGAACGTGGAGCATCTTTACAGTTGATTCTATGTCTGAATTCAGTACTTCGGCTGATATGTTTTCAGGTCTTGCTGCTTTCCCACTCTTGATTTTTCTGATGGTCATCCTGATTTCTTTGATCATTGGTAGAGTGACATCTATGGGAATGGCTATGTGCTGCTTCTATATCCTTTGGATTCAATGGGGCTGGCCTATTCAATAGTTCTACCCACCTGTTCCTCTTTTCTTGAATCTCAGTGATTGGCTTGCCTTCTTTATACATGACTAGTCGCTCTGGTTTACCATATTTCCCTGCTAGTTTGTTGATTGTTTCATATAGCTGTTTCATCTTTCCTTCTCTTGCAGCTTTTTCTGCTGTCGTTGCTAGCTCTTCCATGTATTTCTGCTTGTCGCCTCTAATGCTTTTCTTCACTTACTTGTTTGCTTCTGTGCATTCAGCCTATGCCTTGACTTTCTCTGTTCTTGTTCAGCTGGTTTCGTGTTCTTCCTTTCCTGAATCTTATTCAGGGTTTCGATAGAGATCCATTCCTTATGATGATGCTTCTTGCGACTCAGAACCTTCGGACACATTGAAGTTAGTGCTTCTTTGATTCATTTTTAATTTTCCTCCACAGTAGTTTTTTTCAGTAGACCTTATAAGGCTTGGAACCTGTTGTCGAGAGCTATGTTGAATTGGTTGAGTTTACCAGTATTTTGAAAGAAGGCTGTATTGAACCTCTGTATTGCTTGTTCTGTAGTTGTCCAGTGCTTCCTTATCTTCAGTTCCATCTTAACAACCACCTGATGGTAATCTGAAGCTGTGTCACACCTCCTCCTGCTTTTCAGACCTTCCATGAACCTTCTGAATTTGTTAGCAATGCAAATATGATCAATCTGATTCTGTATAGTGTGATCTGATGAGACCCGTCTAGCTTTGTGTACTCGTTTGTGGAGGAATCAGTGCCAATTAAAACTGTTTTGTTGAATACACATTAATTTGCAGATCTCTCGCCATTTTCGTATCTTCTCTACGCCTGTAGCACTTCTAGGGTTACTTCCAGTCTTAACTACGGGTAATAGAGAAGGTCTGAACATGGAGTCAGTAAACCTAACCCGTAGAAAACAGTTTTGCTGAAAAAATGAATCGAAACGTAGTTCAACTATATCCAACAGCGAATCAATTACTTCAGGATAGTAAGATGAAGGGTAGTGACGTGTCAAATGTATAAACACAAGTATAATATATGAATTTAAATAAAGCAATAACAAATATTGATGCAGAATAGTATGAATTCATATTATTTCGAGGTTTCTCGTCAGCTGCTTACAAACCAAAAGATGTGATAGAATTTTTACATTGAGATAGAGTGAAAACAAATGACATAGATGAGTGTAAATAACTGGGTTACAATAATAACTATATATATATATATATATATATATATATATATATATATATATATATATATATATATATATATATGCTAGAACAGGTCATAGGTCAAAAGGAATTAATTCGGGTTGGGTGGTGTAATAATGCAATTGAATAATCATAAGATAGGTTACGTAATAATAATTAAATAGAATATGAAAATTTAAGATAATTTAGGAGGATCAGGTGGTGGAAATGCGTAAATAATAATGTGGTTTAAGAATTATGTAATAGGGGAGGAATATAAATATTTTGAAGTAAATAAAAATAAAATAATAATAATAAAGGGTTACCAGGGTAGTGATAAGCTAATTAACGTCTCTTTTTGAATGCATAAGTCAGGTTTAAGTTTTTTGATCATAATAGCTTCAGCAAAACGGAGGGTGGTCGTATTTCTTTGTCTATTGATAACTTTGAAAGCATGAGGAATGTCGATGGTGTGCCCGGTGTCAAGTATATGATCAAACATCATCACTTCACGACTGCATTAGCGTACCAATCAAGAAAAAGCTTAAATGTTAAACAAAAAATCGCTTCAAGTCTTGAAGCTTAACGTTTAGGTGGCTAACTTCAAAACTTCTGGTGGTATTTAAATGAATGTTATGTGTTCAGCAGACAGTTCATGAACTCACCATTAATAATGTTTACTTATATATATTGAGTTACTGATAAAACACAGATGTGTAAGGATATTCTGAACTTCAAGTGTCACCGGAACTGTTACTCATTGTTATTACTGATAAAACTGACATACTTTCAGAGAAGTTGAGGTATAACCGTTTTCTCACAATTCGACAGTTTTATTAAACAGTATTTAAAGCTAGGGTATTACTTTTTAGTAAAAAATATAATTTTGGACATTTTACGTTGATGTTAGTTTACTTCAAGCATTGAATAGATCTAATGACTGAATCTATTACAAAGATTAATGCACCTGATGACAATGATGAATTTCAAGAAATATTCTAAGATCTTAACACATGTCTGCCCACACTAATGACTAATTTTAAATAACCATATCAACTACTAAACAGTAGTATGAAGTTTACTAAAAACAAATCTAAGGGAGTGGTGAGAGTTATATTGTATGTGCTATTTATACAGTCAGATATAAGGAATATGTTTCTAGCATTGGAAGTAGAATTTTTACTGACATAATAGGAAAATGAGAAGAAGGGAAAAGTGAAAGTTGAACGATGTAGTTTGTAAAAGACAATTCAAGAAAGGTACGCAAACAGTATATTTGATGCATTGTTTTCATATTTCACAAAAACACTGCGTAATTTTGTATAACATAATTTATTTTCCCTGCCTAAGTCTTCGTTCAGTACAGTATTATCATTTCCGATCAATGAATATTTGCTTTACCTTGATCTAATGTATTTCATTATTTGGATGTCAGGTTCCATTGTGCATCATATTTTTATGCTGGTCACTTTTACTAACTTCATTCCCACATTTACCGTTGATATTTGGACCTCAAATCAAAGTTGGTTTTGGTATTTGGTTATGTGGTCTCTATTTATTAATTAGTGGTGTGCTTGTCTATGCACCAACTGCTACAGAAACCTTATTTGGACCAATTAATATGGCTGTAAACTACGGATTAGTTTTCAATGCATTTGTAAGTAGATTATCTTGTTGATATTTATTCGACTTATAAAATTTTCATTTTCCACAAGATGGATGGAAAATAAGAGTTAACCCATGATTTGAATAGAAATCCTTTCTTATCATTTAACCTTTCTAAAACAAAACTCTAGTTAGTAGGCTCGGAACAAATAAGATGTATGAATTATTTTGCAAGTTTACCACCTATGATAAAAGTGTGATAATGAAAGAGTGTAGCTCGTGTAGACAAATTCGGTTACGCCAGATGGTTTAATCTTATAAGCAGCCTATCATAAAGAACCTAAAATATTGAAGATGTAATCGTTTAATTAATAAAATATTTAAAAGTGATAAATAAACTTCTATAAACCGTAAAATGATTTTGTCCTGAGTTTCTTTATCTACTTGAGATTTGATTGAGAGGCATAACAGTTTATGTATTCGCACAAACACAAGACCACAAAGATTTTTCTAGGAACGTACATAAACAGCAACTTGATCGGATGTATAATTTTCTCATTGTTATGTTTCTAGTAATTACAGTAAACATGAATCGAATGACCACCATAAAATCACTTTTGATATCTTTTGATATCATACTTGGCGAATGATTTACAGTTTATAAGGCATTTTTTAACAACTTTTAATCAAATTCAGTAGAACTTTTAAGATCCTATTGTAAACTTGAATGTTGTCTCTATGATATTTTCATCTACATATTATCAAGATGAAGTCGAAAACAATAATAATGCAGTAGAGATAGAAGGAACACATGTGAAAATCTTGTAAACTATAAACAAAACGCTTATACCACTGAGCTGGCATCCAACGGTGTTAATGTCTAACTCCAACCAATCCACAAAATTGTGCCACCGGACACCATTGTCTTCAGTGTGCTGATATCTCACAACAGGTCATTAAATTTGTTAAAAGTAGTAAAAATGGAGCAATTTTGATATTCACCTTATAGTTTTCTAAATATAACTCTGAACATCTTTTTCCCTATATCTTTTCTTCAGTCAAAGTCAGGCAATTAATTAGCTAGTGAAAATTAATTGATAAGTACTATTCAAGCCATAAATTGGTCACGTTTTATCTCAAATCTGACTTTTTTTTAAACCAAATTCTGCAACTGCATATCTTTTACATTACAATTCAAAGAATCCCTATGGTGTAAAATATGGACTAGTTTGCATATAAACAAAAAAACTATGATACTTTTTGAACTTTATTCAACCCTGAGATCACTGTAAAATAAGTTTCCTGAAAGCATAATAACAAGTGAGAAATCTTGTTTATCTCCTTGCTGAAAAAGATCAATATGAAAATACTTGAAAATGTCATTTTTTAAATATGATGTGATAAGAAGCACTAAACTTCCATGCGCGAAGTTGAGATGTAAGGTGGACTTCTGTGCTCAATAAGTAGTGTGAGATTGTTTCAACAAACTGAGTTGGTGAAATAGAAGCCTGAAATATCTTAGATGGTCATTACATGAGAAAACAAGTTGGATCAGCAGTTAAAATCAATTCAGTAATTATCACAGTATAATCTGTATTTCATCTTGAGCATCTGGTGAATAAAGTATGCTATACAATTTTATTCATATATGACCATATTCTTCACCTATTTAATTAAGCTTCCGAGTTCATCTTTTGATAACTCTGACTCATGAATAACCATATGTCCCTGCAACAGCTAAGTACCTGTTACTAGGTCAACCCAAGCTTTCGAATAAAATATCATCACTACCTCCAAAGTTCAACAAACAAATAGAGGCTTTTTCAAAAAATCTATGCAGCAATTACTACCACTTATTTATCTCCTTTTACTTCGTGTTGTTTGTTTTTTATGGCTAATAATAATGTAAATTAACTTCATTAAACCATTTCTGGACAAATTCCTTAATATTTATCAACGTATTTGCCATTTTAAAAAAATACAGCCCTTATATGAGATTCTGTTTTGATACTAACCTTGGCGACTAGCATCACAATCAACATTTATGCGACTATTTATAAGTATTTGCAATCGACAATTAAAAAGTGGACTAATTTTTTAAGAAAATTCGTTTGATCGAAAATTTGCTGTACGATGGACCAGATTGTACACCGATTTTCATATAATACATGTAGCTAAGTAGAGTTACTATTTTGTGAACTAAGAGTATTCAGTTTTAGTACCTTTTTATTATTAATTATTTTCATTATACCCTAGGTTAGTATAGTACATATGCACACTTATATTTTATGCTGTTTCCTATACATACACAAATAGGTATTCGGTGGTCTATTCGTTTCGCTATTGTCCATCCTAATTCCACAGTTTCATGAATGGGATAATCTATTTTATCTATGTGCTGCAATGTGTATTTTAGGTACGTTATAACAAAAACCTTTAATTGTATCATGTATCATTATCCTGTAACAACTTCAAGAACGGAATGGCTCACTCGTTATAAATAGTTAGAAACAGTTTAAAACGAGCATTGTTTTCTATTAATTGGTGGAGGTTTCAACTAACTTAACAAAACATACGTTTCTACCATGAACTCGTATTCCGAAATAATTAACTTAGCACTTAGATAAATATCAATTGTATTCTAGTTATACTGACTTCACTATTTTATAGAAACGTACAATATCAGTGACAGGAAAGTGTATAAAGCATGACCAAAACTCGAATTACCAAAACGAAACATTTTTCAACCTTAAACGTTTCAAGCAAAAATTCAATTCTGACCTACATTTTGTTTCTTGGCTAAAACTGTCATTTGGGTGCAAACAATCATTCTGAAAATACGTACGATTCACTGTACATTGATGACCTGTCTAAAAAAGAATGTCCTGATTTTCTGATATGAATTCACAGTTTTAAAGGTTTGTCATGTAGGATGTGACAAAAGATTACAGTAGTCGATATCGGCTATTGGTGAAGTTGTAAAATAAGCGTATTCAGGCTCCCTTGAGGCACTTTTCGTTCAAATTAGAAAATGATATTTCCGGAATTAAACAAAAGCTTTAAATATTATAATCAACTGTTTATTACCTCCATATACGCAACGTCATCTTTCTGCAGAGCATTGCTAAAAAGTAATTTCGACGTAATAAATCAAAACGATGAGCTTAAAAAATTAACCTACCGGTTTGGAAAATCGTGAATTACGGTGAGGGAAATCGGGACTTAAAACTTAAGTAATTACACTTTATGTACATAATGCGATTTGTTTTCATCGATACAATTGTTAGCACTCCAGTACGTTACAAAAGGAAGTGTAGTAAACACAAAACATGTATTATTTATCAAATATCTTTCACTTAAACAGCTATCAGGTCTAAAAATTGGCTAGTGTGTAATGTACCGTGTTGGAAGTGTAACCATTCACTCTAAAATAATAAATATTGTCATGTGTTTATTATTATCACTGAGAGTTCTTTGATATGAACCTATCAGAACAAAACGTAGTCTGCTTTTAGACATCCACATAACATTTTACTTGACTTTTTGTATCCTTTGTGATAAATTTCCAGTCGACCTTTTCAAGCTGAACAAAATTGACTGTGCACATATCTCACATAAAAACGGAGAGTGGCAATAATGTAAAGTGAATAATTCACATATCGGAGACTATTAATTGCTCAGTACACTTGATCTAATCATTTGCTTACCATAGATGACACCAAGGAGAACAATAGTGGTGTTAAGTACGTGTACGTTAACGAGTTCAAACGAGAACACATCTAGAGTAAGGGGTTTTATGCCTACTTCTGAAAACCATAGAATAATAAGTTAGGTTGGTTAGATGTTTTTTTACATAATGATGGATTATTTCGAAAATAATAATAACTTGCTTTGCTGAGTAGTTGTAGTAGTGATTCTGGTTAATAGATTTCTTGTTGAGTAGTAATAATCATTTCATCAACCACCAACTATAAGCTCATTTCCCGTAAGTATTTAATTTAATGCCATAAGCCATAGATATTCAGCCACTAATCAGACTTCTTGTAACGATTTGTATTTTGGATACAGCGTAGTAAAAATGAGTAGGTCTCAGTTTAGACCTTTACAATTTTAAATTTTAATCCATTTAGTAAAACATTTATTTAGTTTGAATCTATTTCCTTCTGTGCAAAAGTTAGTCATCAGGTAGTAAGTTTTGATCATTTGTATGTTGTGTTTAGAATACTTTTCAATCTCAGTTATAACTTTTGTCTGTTACTTTTAATGATTATTACGCACAAAATAATATTGCATTATACTCACTAAATGAAAATATTTCCTTTACCCTAGCTTTATTAATTGTGCCATGGATATATGATAGGAAAATGCCTAAATATTTCAGCTTGTTTCGATTTTATAGGCAAAGTCACAGTTGAATTCTTCTAATAACTTGTTCGACAAATATTGTTATCCTGAAAAATTATCATAGTTTTTTTAACAGGGAAACATGAAACTTATCTTTTATTGGTGTCATTTCAAAAATATAATTTCATCTGAGCAAATGGACAGAATTAATAACCTCTTTTTACAAAATTAGCATATCTCAGAAAATACGTGCTCCCTTTCATCAATTTACATTTGATTCGCAAAATTTATCAATCGCATATACCAGATAATCATAATGATAATAATCAGTTAATACATTATAATTATGTCATGGAAATGTTTTACCTTCTGAACTAACTTACAAAATTCAGCCGAATTCATTGTTATTTAATTGAATGATGAGTAATTTCATACTAGTAGGGTTTCTTTACTCAAAAGTTTTCCATTTCATCTCATTATTCACAATAAATGCATTGGGTAGATGCATATTCATTTACTAAAAGATTTAATGAAGTTCTAGGATTGAATATTGTCATCTATATTTACAGAATATACAAATATAACTTTATGAATGTATGTGTTGAACTATATTATTTATGCTCGAACCTGACTATCCCATATCATAATATCTCAAACTTTAGATTGTTGGTGTTCTAAGCTAAATCACTTGAACACTTATGTCTAATCAACACACTTATGTATATTATTCATCATATTACCTCATTTTGTTTTAATCTGAATAACCTTATTACCATTTATGTGATTCATCAACGGTAGGTATCCCGAATTCTTTCAAGATAAACAGGATCCTTAACATCCACACATGGCTAAGCGCCATGACAAACGCGTCAATCGTAAGAATCGTTTAAAAACCATAGGCTCGGTCATCTATGTCACATTTCCTATGACTCAATAAGTACAGTATAAGCTAAACGATCCTAAAACAAAATACCGTCATTCCTGCTATTTACTATTTATTGACGCAGAAAGTTAATAAATATTTGACAGATTAAAATCGATAACATCAGCAATGCAGCGAAATGGATAGGGATAAGAATATAGATCGGTTGTAACTAGTAGGTATGCATAACCAAATGAGCTAATATTTAAGAAAAAAATAGAGAATAACAGAGTTCGCGCCACTGTAAACACTTTTACGTCTTGTCTTCTACAGCTACAAACCACTGATTTTTGAGATTCAAAAAGCACAAGTTCTTTATTCATTGTTGGATACTAAATCTTATTAACTCAAATCTGAAAATCCACTTTGCAAATAGCTACAAATACTAGGTAATCACGCAATCTTATTTGAAAGTGTTTAATCAGATCAAAAAGTACACTAAAGTCATTCCATTTTGACAAAGTAATTGGCTTACTGATACAATAAATGTTTTAGATCCAACCAAATGATCATTACGTCCATTTTGAATTAGTTTCAATTATAAACCAAAAGGTTCATGACATAACATAACTCATGATCGAAAAATAATGTCCAGTATAAACTAGGTGAGCAAAACCAATTAGGTCATTTGCGACTTTTTATCTTCAGCACAATCTAATATCACTTTCTGGAAAACAATGATGTTATTTTTTTATCTCATTACATAGAAGAAACTACAATCAGAATATTTTTACTGAATAAATTTTACTATCTAAAACCTCAAAACTTAGGTATGGTTTTGAAAAAGCTTAATATTCCTATGAACCGAAAAATAACAGTAATGAAAGTGTGGTAACAATCTAAAGACTACTAAAAAGAAAATAAGTGTACGATAACCAACTTTGACTTTAACAATTTAACGTATAGTCACAGCAACAACTGCCAATTTTGATCAGCACAATCGACTAAAAATAAACATCATACAAAACATCGCGTGATAGCATGACCGTTCTGAAATCAGTATCCAGAGATTATTCTGGAAACGTGTATTAAGAATGACCCAGTTTATATGCAATTAATTTTTTCATGTTCAAACTTACTAGAATTAAATAACATGACAACAGAGTGTTGAAGGCGCAATTTTAAAGCAATCAACAAGTACATTGAAAGCGATCCAACTTACCAACCAATCAGGAAAATTATGGACAAACATAGAACCAAAAATCAAACCAATGGGAGATACAACCAAAACAAAGAAGTAAATAATGACAGATTTAAGCTCAAAAAGAACCAATAAACATCGAGGTCTACAGAACAAGCTGTGAACCATATGTGGGGAAATTTGAACACTTGTGCTGATGATGTTGTTCAGAATAACGATGAAAGCTCCACGACCAAACCATCCAGCTCAGAGAACAAAACTCAAAAGTTTCTAGGATACTTTATTCTTGTTAGTTTTTACACAGAAAGAAAGCAGATTATATGAAAATGACAAAACAACACCACCGACACAACAAATAATGTCATAACCAAACATCCGTAAAATATGTCTATCTTACTATGTAATAAAGTCAAAACATGAGGCTTTACCCATGTTACCTCAAAACTTCAGTTAATTGTCAGATGATTAAGAACTCTGAAACCCGAAAACAATGTAATAAAAGTTGACTCCCCTGTAGTTATTACAAGAGTTTTCCTTTTATTTTTGCAGAATAAGGTGACCAGACAAATAGAATACATCTTACAACGAGATAATCGCTAATACTTTGGCTGATCTAACGCACAAATATTGACCGATCTTCCTCTTCCCATGTTTGTTACAGCTATTATGTCTTTACTGCAATCTAAAGTCTGATGTCAACTTCCAAATTCAGTTGTTGATTGGCAGCCATCAACGGAAGCGTGACTGACCCTTAGAACGACGATATTTATCTACCCTTTTTCACCTGTATGACTAATAGCTGACCCATTAATCTCACCGTCACCTACCACTTCTTTTTTTCTGTTTCATTCATGTTTATTACTCACCACCTCTCAACATTACCATATATACGCTTCAGGACTCAATTAGAAAGTTTTGCGCTCGTTTATTATTAAGACCAAGAGAAGTGTTTCTGTGATTCTAAGTTTAGAATTCTCCATTACGATCCGCTGGTTTTCATTCCTTCATTTCAAAGCTTGCAAATATCGAAACAGTAGACCTACACGTCACAAATATTCTTTAGCCGAGTCAGTATATTTCGTCAAGGTTGTATACATGCCACACTGAAAATTTCAACTAGGGAGAAACCGAAATTGTGGGCTTATCACCCATTGATTCAAAACATAAACCAAAATTTACTATATAATCTACAATAATCATCGTAAGTTAACAAGATATGTTCAAGAAATAATAATTCCCGATTTCGTAATGTTCTTAGCTTTCCGCTGTAATCTGCGTAACCGAACTTATGTGGCAGCAGTTTTAAATACATTTTGACTTTCTTTGGTGACTACAGAAGGTTGTACAGGATCAACAACTGTTTCTGTAGTCTTGCTCTTCTCTTTTTGATGTACCGAGCTATCTGACAAGTAGAATGGTACTTTAAACACATATCTTGTGGATTCCGGTTTGATATTCTGCTTAAGTTCCAGAGCATTATCCTCCAAGTAATACCATTCGCATCGAGAATAAGGAACGGGTGCTCCAGATTTGTATTCGTTTTCTCTAAAACATAGTAGATCCCGCTTACCACCCATTTTAGATAATCGTACATACGGTGAGTCAGTCGACTTGAGATACATTGTATGTTTTTTCTCGTGGATGGATTCTTCAGGCATAAAACCAATACTTGGAATTTGCGAAATCGGGGGAGATAACTGTTGCACTTTATTTTTCCTCAATGGAATAACATGACACATCCAACCAACATCTTTTAGGTTGGTTTGAACGCTCATTTAAGTTCAAATATCTAGTAATCATGAAAGAAGAATATCAAGATGAAAATGTAGTTAACGTCGATTACATAAAACGGATTTTTCTCACGTATATGTGTGTTTAAAATACATAGTTTTCAACCCGGGATCTGATTCGAGTTGGATTGTTTCCGATTGCTATTGAGATACACATATTGTCATTCCTCGTTTATTTTTATAGTCACACAAAATTATGCTACAGACACGTGACGAATGGGATATGAAGGTCACTCACATATGTGCTCATATAAAAACAGTGAAGATTGATAAGCGAATAACTAACAAGGTCAAAATGTGACTCAATTAGAATGAATAGATTGGCCTGTTCGAAAGCTGGAAAAAGGCATATGGGCTTAACATAATAACTGAAACTACAATTTCTGTGAAAATACGAGGTTGCTTTTAATAACACAGCAGTTCCGTTTTCTGAAATCTTTCTGTGACAACTGGCAGTGCACTTTATAGAACATATTTTGTCTTATTCTATATTTTAAAATGGACACCTCCGATTTATAATTTTTATTGCATTTCACGTAATATTTATTATTTATCACAGCTACATGACCTATTCGCAATGTATTCTGTATTTTTTATGCATTACAAAAAAGATATGCTTATCATAACTAAAGAGTGTGACGAATAACCTATTGATTTTCGAAACACTGATTGCTGCACTAAAACCTTGATAAAACATAAACGCCGGAATGCATAAACATACATTTAAAAAGCCAGGAAAAGAAAAACATGCATGTGGATATCATTGTGAAGGAATTTCAACATACAATTAGGACTTCAGCTTAGTTATTTCTCATGGACAGTTAGTTACACGCATTGTGAAACCTGGCATATATGTACATTGATTGAAGTTACCACGTCCCATTAGCACAGCAAGAGTCAGTCAGTCAGTCAGTCAGCTACAACGTAGGACCAGGCACATATGTGCATCGGTCCAGGTTGCCATACCTCATTAGCACAGCAAGATGAACAGCGGATTCATAGGAGTGATTAGGTCAAAGGTGGTAATATATAGGAGGAAGATTGCAATAAGGATATAGTATAGGAAAAAAGAATTAGTTCGTAGAAAAAAAGATATGAAGTGATTTTAATCTCTTAGTTTAAGGGAAGACAGGGAGTGTATACACCGACGCCATTGTGATCGATTCTGAGCCATGTCACCAAGAGTCTCCAACCATTGGTTACGAAAGTCACGCGGACCCCAACCACGTAGTCTGCATCTACCCTAATACCCTGCGTCTAACCTCACTATAACTTACCCGGTGATCCCAGCAGACGCCAGCAATATTTCTAAGGCATCTGTGGTCAAATACTAGTAGCTTACGGGTGTCTTCTACTCTTAAGGGCCATGTCTCGCTGCCGTAAATTAAAACAGAACGAACTGCCGCGCAGTATACTCGTCCTTTTATTGATAGACGGATATCTCGCCTTCGCCAAAGGTGACGTAAGTTGGCAAAAGCCAAACGAGCTTTTCGAATCCGTGCTGAGATTTCGTCAGACACCAACCCATTAGGGCTGATCAGACTTCCAAGATAAGTGAAGTTGTCAACGCGTTCGACTACTTCACTCCCTATCCTTAGTTCAGGTGTTAACGCAGACCAGTCCTGAAGCAACAACTTGCATTTGGAGGGAGAGAAGCCCATCCCAAACATTCTGGCATTGTTGCTTTGTGCTACCAGAAGACTCTGCATTTTGTCAGCGTTTTCACCAAACAGGACTATGTCATCTGCGTATTCTAAGTCGATAAGTGGACCTCCTGGAAGGAGATCAATACCCGAGAATTCAGTCGACGAGAGTGTTATTCCCATCAATAGATCTATGATGAAGTTAAACAAAAATGGAGAAAGTGGACAGCCTTGACGGACACCACTTGAGGTTGCAAAAGTAGATGACAGTTCGCCATAAGCCCTGACTCGACTAGTAGTGTTCGAGTAAAGAGCCTTCACAAGGTTTATGTACTTCTGAGGTACGCCTTTCAATGACAGACACTGCCACAGAGTCTCGCGGTCCACCGAGGCAAATGCTGCTTTTAAATCAAGAAAGACCACCATCGTCGGACGCCGATAGGTATGCCTGTGTTCTAGAACCTGACGAATGGTGAATATGTGGTCGATGAAGCCACGACCAGGTCTAAAGCCAGCTTGGTTCTCTCGAGTTTGTAGTTCACGAGTCTTAGTTAGGCGTTTGATAATTATCGAGGCCAGTATTTTAGATACTATGTTTGTTAAACTAATCCCTCTGTGGTTGTCACAGGATGATTTTAACCCTTTCTTATATATTGGGACGATAAGTGATTGCGACCAGTCAGATGGGATAAAGTCTAATTCCCAGATCTTAGCTAAAATATTAGTCAACCTAATCGCTAAAATTGGACCACCATCCTTAAAGACCTCTGGAGCCAGTCCATATGGACCAGCTGCCCTTCCTCGTTTCAGATTAACTATAGCCTTTTGAACTTCAGCAAGAGTCGGGGGACCTACTTCAATGTTCCATTCACACTGTCTGGGAATGGAGGGTAGTTGTAGAGTAGCTGAATGCCAGATAGTAATAACATTATCGACAGTAGAAAAGATTAGGTATCACAGATACAATTTGAGAAGGAAATATGGATTGATTCAACAGACGTTTCTAGGCAGTTTAGAGACTTAAGGTCTAAGGGAAGTGAAAGAGTGAATCCATATGAGCCACTTCACCAAAGTTTTCATCTATTATCTACTATAGTCAATCAGACCTCAACCAGGTAGCCCACATCTGTTTGTTTGGATCAGTTCAATATTTGGTGCCCCCAGAGAGTAGTCTGACATTCTTTATTCGATCAACCATAACTTTCCTCCGAACCACTATTACACCAGCCATTACAGCGCGTCAACTTGTGCGGATAATAGGCATACGAAATACACGTTACAACCAGCTCGGTTGATAAATATCCATTATTTCACTATTCAATTTGCCATCCTTACCTAGAACTCTTTATTTATCTCAGCATTAATAACTCGACGGTATCAACATATAAGGACAATGAATACTAGTAACAGACAAATATCCTCGAGTTGTAAAGATTGTTTTTCGACTATCAAGTTGAACGAAACAAAGAGCTTCATGGAATACCCTTCTTGTATTCTAAGTAAACAAAAAGTCTCATAATAGATCGGTTGTCGAAACCTTAGTTGATAACAAAAAAGAAAAAATATATTAAATATACATGTCTAAATATGTGGACTCAGGACATTTCCTGAGATGCGTATGTCCAAACTTTGTTGTATTCCGACATGCCAAGTGGTAATCACAAATAGCTTGCGTTATACAAGTAAGTGGTGTACTCTATGTGCTTATATTTATTGTCCCTGCTTCAGTTTGGGCACGCGGGTGGTATCCCAGTTCTCACACAAATAGAATTATTTATGTGGCACATATCTATTCGGTGCCTTCTTGTACCAATCTTTATGTGTTAAAATAAAATAAATAAATAAATAAAATTATGTTTATTGTCACTAATTTCCTCGTTTGCTCTATAAGATGAAGTCAGTAAAAGTGTTCGTAGACGTAGGCCAACACTGAACCTCGGTTGTCACAGATGGATATATAGCAGAAGGCTGAATAAAATGTAAACGACTTTCATGAAAAAAATTACTTGCTTTCGTTTGGTCAACTTGATAATGAAAGCGCAATCAACGGTTATTAACTTTATCAGTGATTTATGTTGCAATAATAACAGTCAACACTAAAATTGATTATTATTAGAAACTATTAACTGTGATAGCATTCAGTGGCCATAAAAATGAAAGACCTCTTGATGATTATAGTGTGAAGAAAGTAAATTCGTTAATCCATTTCACAGAAGTCCATAAACCAGAAAGAACAGATCAAAATAGCATTGATGAATTTGATAACAAACGGCTGTCAGAACATCAGAGATACTGATCAACATTCTGAATGCGTTTCGAGATCTTGTTCCGGACTTACCAAGCAGCGCAACAGAATTGGTCAGAAATGAATAACTTAATTTTTCTAAAGATTATGAGTGGTGTTATGAATCCGAAATTTTAGTATATAATGTGCATTTGTAGCACCTTCCCGATGACGTTCGTCCAAATGGAGCTCTAGATTCTTTTCCCCCCTCCAATCCGAGTCTTATATGATGCAGATTAAGAAATCAGTGCATAGTGAGTACGCTGTAGCCAGACAAGCATCTCAGAGTTATGCGGAGAAATCTTTCCGTGGTAGGCTTTAAGCTAGCATATTGGCTACGAACAATCACCAAGTTTGACCCAGGGAGAAAATTAAATATGCTTAAGAATACTAAAATAGCTTTATTTAAGCCGATCAATGTTATACTAGTGCACGGAAGACCTGACATTGTAACTGATGTAGGGAAAAACGGATTAATGAGATTTAGACCTTTCACAAACTTATGTGATTACTTTAATGAACCATTCCCTCCTAGTGACATTGGTCAATCCTGAACTAAAAGGTCATTTACGACTGCGGTGAGTCACGAACATAAAAAACAACCATTTCCTATAGATGGACTTCAGACTGGAAAGGATTTGCTGGTTTTGTTCAACGAATTTACTGTTTGCCGTGTCAGCAGTTCTGCGGACGAAGACACCATGCCACTAAACGAAAAGAAGGAGTCAGTACAGTAATCTTAATATTTCGTAGAAGTGCATTGAAACAGAAAGAATGGCTTCTACACAATTCCTTTGACATCGATGTGGCCGAAATGCAAGCTGGAAACAGTTTGGGTCAAAAGCCTAAATTTCGGTTGCTGGACACTTTTGTCCCACCAATTCACAAGTAGGAGTGTTTTCTTTAAAAATGTTGATAATCTAGTTCAGCACACGTGGATGCGCCGCCCTCCACGTCCGTGTCTAGTCATGTGGCCAGTGCATTAGTGGCTTAGTAAGCCACGTGACCGGTTGAGGTAAATGCTCAAAATTTTATAAAATGCATGATGTACTACAGAACATATCATCAGCTATATCATACTTGAGTGAGAACATTATGCAGTTAATGTCGTAGTCTGGACAGCATGAACATTCACGATAATTTGATATTGGACTACCGAGTTTGCCGTCCTTTTTGTCATCTGGAGAGAAACTGATAACACTGGACGCATATATCCAGCAAGAAGACATAAGGAACAAACTTGTAAGTCAATAAAATTCACTGGATTAACTGTTCCTTATCCAGAAGGCCACTCTGACGTAGTTAATGGATGACAATCCTAAAACATTCGTACGCTTTATTTTGTCATAAGTCATGATACCTGAAGTTGCCAGCCATTTCACACAACTTGGAACTTTATCTAAAAGAGCATCTTAGAAGCATACGAAGTAAGACGTTTTTTTCTAAGCTTTAGGCGCTTTAACATCTTCGTTCTTGTCTTCATCCATCAACAAGAAAAATCTTGCTAAAGTTTATGAAATCGCCACACAAGCGTGTTTTCACGACATAAGAAACATAAAACAGAAGCGTCATATAAAAAACAAAAACTTGTATGTGCTTATTAAAAGTTATAATTATACACTCCCGTTCTGAAGGTGCAATGTTCAGTATTAATGAAAATAACCGTAAATAACACTTCACGTAGACAGCTGTTTAACAAATTATGGCAGTTAGATGGTGTTGTAATTTTTGTGTTCATTAAATTTCAGAATTCACAAGGTCACTTTGGTTTGTAATAGTTAAACTTCAGTTTAACCTAATTTTTAGTAAAGCTTTTTTTTACAATGAGCTGCATTTCCAACTTGCTTGTAAAACCCTCTAAGTGAATGTTGTAAAAGCCTGTCTGATTTCACATGCACTTATCATTTACGACACATTCCTAATTAATAATCCAAAACCTGCAATTTCTTTTGCAGATCTCTGTAAATTACAATAGGTCATGGCACTTACTAAGAAAATACGTAACAATCGTTGCTCAAACATCGGTGTGTTACTAATATTCTTGTGCCGTTTGATGTTTTTCCTTTCAATAAATGTATTTATTTATGTGCCACTTTTTAACATAATCCATTACAGTCGTAGTGTTGTTTTGCTATGGAAATAAAGGCGAACATATGGGACATTTTTAGTCGGACAAACGATGGAAAATCAAATGTAAAATCAAGAGTATATTAAAAAAGGCAAAAGTAGACTGTTCAGCGATATTCTTAAACAGCAACAAAAAGAGAAACTCGCCAAAACAGGTGTAAAAGCAAACGCCTCCAAGTGTTTCTCTCTAATTTACCCCTTATTTTATTACTCGATGTCTTCTTGTCAGTTGCTTAAGCATAATGAAATCATTTTTTGATAAGATTATCCTTCAAATAAGACATTATGAGGAAAACTCATTGGTACAATTACTTTCAAGGTAAACTTGGCGAGAATATAATTTATGGACGAACCAACCACGTATAAGATAACTGATCTTGCATTTTGGGGCGAAATTCACTCATCCATTTAGATAAATACAGTTTTGGCATTATAGCTGATGTCAGCTCGTGATGAAAACTCGAAATCTAATTCCTAACCTTGGTCATCAACTGCGAATTATAATTATAATTCCTCACACAGGTTTATAACCCTCATATGGTCCTGGTTATTAAGTGGACACTTTCAGGGTCAGTCTAGCATCGCTCAAACGGTTATGGACAGAATAGAAGAAGCTTTCACTTAACGGGCTTCCGTGTCTAGTAGCAATGGATCATCAATACTTACAGGCAGAAACCCAGGTATATTAACGATAGTAGAGGCAAAAGAAATTGGTCAATCGTAGTAACATATTATCCTTAGTCCTTAAGAATAGGTCAGGTTTCCTCTTAAAGGACTACTGAGAAGTCTCTTGGATTAGTTCAGCTGGTGGTGAATTCCAGCATTTGACAGCCCTTAAAGAATGAAAGTTTCGTTTACAATCTGTTCTACTGTGTTGTAGCTCCAGTCTCTGAGTGTTAACCCTTAGGTTTGTGGTGGAGCAAAACTTAAGTAAGTGTTTAAGGGGATGTCCAGAAGTGTTGATGATGCTGTAAGTCATTAGAAGGTCACCTCTAAAACGCTTATACACTAATCAGTAAAGGTTTAGGGATAAGAGGTGCTCTTCATAAGGATTGAATTTGAGTCCCAAAACTGATTTCGCGGCTCGCCGTTAGACGCGTCCCAGTGTGTCCTTATGCTTTCGGAATGAGGAGGAAATACTGTTTTCGTACTCTAAATGGGGACGAATAAAACTACCGACGATTATGTTCAAAGTCCTTACGTTAAACTGGTCAAAAATGCGCCTCAATGTTACCAGTGCAAGGTTTGCTAGAAAGGCATTTTTGTCACATTTAGAATAAGACTTTAAATTATACGGTACCAGCACTCCTGAATCTTTTTCAACTAGGGATACTTCTAGAGAGGAGTTGCCCAAGTTTCAACTGTAGTCTGCAACATGTCTCAGATGGTCCACTTTACACTTTGAAGTGTTGAAGGCAAATCCGTTGTCGTCTGCTTAACTTTGAAGTCGAGCCAGATCCTCCTGAAGTGCCAGTATATTCTCTTGGTTGTGTATCTCTCTCCAACGTTTCACATCATCAGTAACACGTAATGAGCCAGACGATACCTTTTGTGGAAGATCGTTTATATAAATCAAGAAAAGAGGTTCTAGTACTGAACCCTGGGAAACTCCCTAAGATGTTCCATAGCCTGAGAGAAAGTGAATTTAACCCTGACCTTAAAATGTCGATTTTTTAGATATGAAGTGGGCTAATCAATTAGAGGTGATTTGATACCCAATCGTTTGAGCTTATTGAAAAGACATATATGGTCAATCCTACCAAGAGCTTTTGATAAGTCAAGGTAAATGACTTTAAATTTCCCCTTTGTGTGATATGAGCCAGCTTCCAAATTTCCGGTAGTTTCCCTTGGCTCAGCGAGTGTGAGAACATCACGCTAAGCGGTGTTGCCAGGAATGAACCTGCTTCTCCCCAAGGAAACCAGGATTGAGAGTTTGTCAATTAGAAATTCTTCGTTTGTGAATACGCACTCTGAGCGCGACGGCGTCTGACTGTTTCTCCATCGACTTTCCCACTTCACATTGTCGAATAATCCCAAATCCTCATTGATGTTGATGAACCGAGCTTCAGTCGAGCTTCCACCTTCAATATAGGTATGTTCCGCGAAATTGACTTCAGGAAGATTAAAGTCCCCTAGAATCAGGATATGAGTGAATTCGAGACGACTGTCGTACGCGATGTCAGCAATGGGCTTACTGTAGTTGACTCCAACTAGACACCTTGAAGTGGTAGACAATCTTACTGAGCACCATACTGATTCATCAAGATTGATAAACTCTTGGTTGTGCACCTAATGTGCCTCCAAACAGGATCGTAAGTATAAGGCTAATCCACCCCACTCCTGTTTTTCTGTCATTGGCAAACAAAGACATCCCGGGTATTGCTAGCTCCTAGTCCAAAAACTGAGAAGATATCCAAGTTTCAGATATTCCTATCGGGTGAGTATTATTAGGATTGCTGAGTTCACATAGCACAAACATTTTGTTCGGTAAACTTGCGGCGTTCATGAATAAGAAACTCATGCTTTCAATTTGAAACGCATGAGCTTTTACTGTCCTGTTTGTCTGTATGAGACTTACGTCATTTTTATTGAAGTTTATCTTTATGAATCCAATGAGCATTCCAGCTTTGGATACTTGAAATAAAATGTGCTCCAAAAAGTTCAGACTGTTGCTATGCCACAAACCCTAGTCATGAACAGTGTAAAGGGTTTCTATGTATGATTTTTTATAGCCAGATTTAGGTTAAGGCAGCAGACAATCTGTGTAAATTCACTTAAATCAACGTTCAGTGCCAGATTCCATGAAACACTCTATTTTTCAGCTTGTTTATTTCAGGGATTACCACTGTAATATAGCTCCCTCTGGTAATAGGAGAGAATGAATATACCACTTTTGTCATCGGCAAAAAGGAAAGTTTTACCGTATTAGTAGTATGAACCATCAGGACCAGGAGAAGTATCTTTTCGTCTAGAAAATATAATCTCACTGTAAACTCATGTAGAGACATAAAAAATCAGTCAGAATTAAAAATCTCCTAATTATTTTCGTACTTGCTGAACTCACTAATATTGAATGTTCGAATAATCACACCAACTGTTGTCATGACTGAATCAATAGCCAATATCTTCATGTTGAGCTTGAATAAACTGATGAATTTCTTTGTGTTTTCTTTCTTGATTTTAATCTACGGCTCTAATTCGTTAGTGTTAAATGACGGTGTAACTTACCGTTGTCTATTACTCAGTGTCCCATTTACAATGTACCACAAAGCCGACAAATTTTGGCTTAGAAGATAAATTATCACTATATAGTGTGTTAATATTCTGGCATTCGTGGTCTGTGATATTTCGGCAGTTTGGTTGGTCAATTTTGATTGGTTAGTTGAAGATGGGTGTTGTAAGTTTAAAATCCATATCTGAAGTCCAAACCACTCATCTCATTTCATTTAACATTCAAATGATGAAAATATGTTTTGCATTTTATACTACACGCATGCGAAACCCCGAGTAAAAACATGAATCCAAGAAGCCAATTTACATCTTTGTACGTTTCATAACGTCTCTTGACATTATAACTTAATGAGTTTTTACAAGCGAATAAAACCCTCAAGCAATTTTTTCTGATTTTTAAATAGTTGAGAAATTATCTTAAGTTAGCATTCCGAACCGTAAATAACGACTTCAATGTTTACATGGGTGATACTTAAGATCCATCTATGAATGATTATTTTCAATTTCACTGCAAGAAGGTTCAGATAACTAGATATGACTTCCTTTTCCCATTGAGTGCTCGAAGACTCGAACTGCTTAGTTGAAAAAGTGACGCCAGCCACATCAGCGAACACTTTAGGAGAAATTAATTTGTCACTGGAAAGAAAGCTGCTGGGGTTAACACAGTTCAACTAATCTGTTAACGCTGTTCGTGAAGACAGAAGACTGAATTTGACAGTTGTTTGGAGGTAAATATTTAATGAACAAACATGTGTGTGCCTTTCTAATACAACAGGGTTACAACGGTCAACAGCTATCACTATATCTGTCAGGAAGTTGATAGGCCCTGATATGACGGGTGCAAATAAATTGAATGCATGCGGATTTTCGAGTCCGCAGACGGTACGCCATGGTTACGGGTGTAGTAATCATATCTACCCTTATTTGTCCATTGTAGGCCGCTGAAATCACGTCAGCCGGGAGAGTACTAGATCTTCAAATAATATTCGTCTTAATTACCATAGTGAAACGTAGTGTTAGTGTTCCAATGGAATTCTTTATTTAGGATGACTTCGATTACTTGTTATATCATATGATATTGTTAAATCGTCTCATTACCTCTCTCACCCAAAGGAAACGATCTGAAGTTGAGACACACATCGTCATATAATATATCCCTTTTTCATACCACTCAATTTGTTTACCATTCCTGTACCTGCTGTTGAGAAGAGACTGTACAATAACGTTGCTGATTCTTACACGTGACCTGACAAATGTTTTGATGTATTTACAATTGATTGTTGTTGCTTTTCAGACATTGGTCCTCTGAATTCTGTCGATATACTTTAATGTATCCACTTCACCTTCACTGAGATTAACTTGTTCCAAGATCTATCATACTGGATGACAGATTTCCTTATTCCGATATATCTTATGGCTGTGGACTAAATGGTGGAAGTAATTACTTTACGAGCTCCTATGACCAGAAGCAGTTGATCACACGTAAATCCACATAGGTTTTTAGGAACATGAAATATACAAAACTAGCTGATTGCATACTAGCGAAACGCTATTAATAATCCTCAAGTGGATACTGAGACTATTTCTCAAAGAAACATGTGGGTTTTCTCGAACCATCTAAGCCAATGATAAGTCTCAAAAATTGCGGATTTTTAAAGAACAGAAAGTGTGCTTGCAAATCATTTTACTGTATTGGGCCTCTAATTTTAGAGTAACTTTAGGGTGATTCGTCTTGAAACGCTAGCATGCATCTATAGAGCCTCAGCATAAACCCAGACTATATACTAAGTATAAGCAACTGTCTAGGTAAAAAAAAGGCCCGTAAAGATCATTTATTCTTCGTCGCTGCAAAATTGACGAGGAGGTTCGACACAAAAATCTACTTAATCCTTCGACAATATACCTACATCAGCATTTCGTTGCGAAATTCTCATGATTTCTTCGCGCAACCATTTTGGTGGCTCGATCGTGGTAGCATCCCAACTGTAAGCCCTTGTTGTACATTGACTGCTGTCGGAAATAATTGCTGTCTGAATTGTCACAAGAAGCGACTAGATTTAATTTGTTTCTTATACAGCTTGAGGACCATTGTCCCTATTCAGTCAACCGAGATTCGTTAGCTCCGTGTTAAAGGTCTGAAGTCAGTTCGATGGCTTTTTTCATTGTCTTCTTTGAGAATCTGACGTCTTTTCTCGACTAACGCTGCTGCAGCATTATAGCTTTGAAGTGTGGAAAGTGAGAAGTATAAAGAAACCACAAATAAGGTATAAAACTGTTGAACTCAATTTATTGGTGATGGAAAAGTTTAGGGTGTGATTACTAAGACTCTGTTTTTTAGTTGGGTTGCAACGTCGGTGAATTCGAAGGAATCGACGAAAACGAGTTAATAGCACGGCGAGAAATGACAGGAGGAACATATAGTTCCAGATACTCTAAAATAGCGGAAGCAGTTTAAGTCAGTGTAAATCATTAAAATGTACTAACGGACATATCGTGTTTGTGTTTGTAAAAGACTATTGTCTTTTTTGGATATCAAATATGAAAATCATTGCGGGTGTCACTGGAAAGGTCGAACTCCAGAACTTCAAACAAATTGAGAAATTTTTTAGCAAATTAATGATGTTCAATAATATTGCTTTAATTCGTGCTCTATGTCGTATACCTTTTTGAAATACACTATCCCTACCAGTAACGCTCTACGAGTGGCTCAGACAGCTATAGCTTGTATATTAGAGTTTTAATATCGACTTGGCACGTCAGACTGATATAAAGTAAACTAATGGCGTCAACTGTAACTTCATGTCTAGATCATTTGCACTTTGGAGACGTCAAGTATAGGTGACTAATCAAAGGCTCTGTTCAGACATGAAAATTGTTAATTTGGTATATCATAAACTGGAATAAAATCTCCATGGATCGTAAACGTTTGCAGTTAATATTCGCGTCAGTGTTCAAGTATTTTTAAGCAGGATCCATAAACAAGATGAACCATCTCTCTACTTTAAATAAAAATTTAAAAGGAGCGGACTGACATCAGCTTAATCAAAAACGTGCGAAGCTAAATGGCAATGCATCATCAAATTTTAAGCAGGCGCCAAGTTTGATAAAAGGAGCGAAAAGGCGTGACCAACTTTTTTTAGTGAGAGAAAGGAAATCACGGTTTAATTATGTACTGACACTTATAAGAGTAATAGTCGTAGTATGATATATTAATGACTGCTCAATAGTTTTTCGAAGTAAATTTACATGTTGTACGGCTTGTTAAAATATGATTCAGAGTTGAGTTGGAATTATAGGAGCAGTAAAGAAATCCCGTTTCGAGTCTAGGGGAAAGGTCGTTAGTCGCTTAAACTTGGTGATAGTGTCGTAGTTACAGATGTACAAGGACAGTCTGTTCCACGGTAAACTAAGTAATACTGTGAAGAACTGTTTTCTAGTGCTTTAGGATCAGTAATGCTGAAAAATGTTGATGAATCATAAGTAGTTAGGAGATTAAAATTGAGAGGAAATATATTATTTTGCAGAATAATCTAAGTTTTTTTGTTATACGTCAGCACCATAAAGGTATAAAGGAGAAGCAATTCTATTGAGCTGTGTAGGCGGGCAAGGAGTAATTTTCTAACAGTCAACCAGAATTTTTGGTCACAGTACAGTAAAATGATTTGCAAGCACACTTTCTGTTCTTTAAAAATCCGCAATTTTTGAGACTTATCATTGGCTTAGATGGTTCGAGAAAACCCACATGTTAGGCTAGAAATGAACGTGCTACAGCAGTCCACAGTAAACTTCGAAGCGTTGAGAAACAAGCAAGAGCAGGATCTAGAATTACAAAACCTGCTTAAAACAAACAATTCAAGTCTTAATTTAAAACAGTTCCCATCACCTGTCGATGGTATTCTAATCTACTGTGACACGACCAAGGCAATTCCGCGACCTTTCGTTCCCAAAAGTATGCGAAAGTTGATATATAATAACTTTCATTCTTTGTCTCATCCTGGCGCAAAAGCTTCAACAAAACTAATCAATGCCAGATATATATGGCCGAATTTACAGAGGGATGCACACAAATGGGTTAGAGAGTGTTCAGCATGCCAACAATCAAAGATTATTCGTCACACAAATTCACCCATGGGTATTTTCTCGCAACCAGATGCACGTTTTGCCCATGTGCATATCGACTTGGTAGGTCATTTACCACATTCAAACGGTTTTAATTATCTTTTTACGTGCATAGATCGATTTACCAGATTCCCTATAGCCATCCTGATAGCGGATATCACAGCGGAAACAGTAGCCAAGGTTTTCATGCAGAACTGGGTAACCATTTTTGGTACACACATAACAATAACGACTGATAGAGGAGCGCAATTTGAATCCGAACGATTTAATAACTTGGCCAAACTTCTAGGCTCCAATAGAATACGCTGCACTGCATATCATCCTCAGGCTAATGAGATGGTAGAACGTTTTCACCGTCAGCTAAACACCGCCCTTATATCTCACTCAAACCCCAATCAGTGGACAGAATTCCTACCATTAGTTATGTTGGGAATACGAACATCTGTCAAAACTGATGCACAGTGTTCAGCTGCGGAACTGGTTTTCGGAACAACTCTGAGACTACCTTGTGAATTTTTTAACCCTAATACTAACAGTCAAAAACTTAATTTAGAAAATTATGTAGATCAACTACTGGACCACATGTCTAAACTTAAGCCGATTATTACTCGTGAACAATCGTGCGCCGCATATATACCTAAAGACCTAAGCAATTGCACGCACGTCTGGATAAGATGTGACAAAATAAAAGCACCACTCAGTCCTCCATTTGAAGGTCTTTTCAAAGTCGTCTCAAGAAAATCTAAATATGTCGTGA